AGATTGAACCCAGGGCCAATTTGAACTTGCTAGGCAGCTACTGCACCATTGAGTTACATCCCCCATCTCTTTTTATTTTATTTTGAGACAGGGTCTTGCTAAGATGCCCAGGCTGGCCTCGAACTTGCAATTCTCCTTCTTCAGCCTCCCAAACCACCACCATGCCAGGCTTCTCTCTTTCTCTTTTTAATCTTGTAATTTATTTGAAGAAATCTATCAGTTTATCCTAAGATAGTAACATAAGTTACTGTTTTTTCTACTCTGCTTACGTAGTACTTGGTCTAATAACATATTTGTAGATATCTTAAAATCTTTTTGAAATTCAGAGAAAAAAATTTTAAATTTTTTTTAAGAACTCTAATTTGGAATTTAACATACTTAGGAAATATATCTTTTGTTATTTTATTATTGATTGATTTTGATGATCCTTGAACCCCTGGCCTCATGGCTTGCTAGATAAGCACTCTACCAGTGAGCCACATCCCCAGCCCCATTGTCTTGTTAATAAAAAGATTTCCATTTTTGTTGTTTCACAGTTAGTGCCTCATTCTCCCTAAATTCTTTATTTTCTTCTTACCTTTTGAGTCTTAAAGTAGGAAAATTTATTTTTATTGTCTTATTCACTTTAAAATGATACATCTTATTGTTTTATTCAAAATTGCATGGTTTGAATATCCTCAGATAAACACTTAATGGATTAGTGTATATTTGTTTCTGGGCCTTTTTCATGTTTTATAGAACTTTTAACTGATATTATACTTTATATACACAATTTGCTTTTCCTATTTGTACATTTTTCCATCTTAGGAAATTTATGAATCTATCCTCTTCAAAGGTCATATTTTGTATAGTGCATATGTTTATTATCAGTTTGCTGAATTTGTGCCTCTCACCATCTACTTTATCTAGGTTTAATGTTTATAATCTGTCACATGGTTGTTCTGTGATGTATAAATCATTCTGGTTGCATAGACTGCATTTTTCATCGACAGTGTCCAGTTGATTTCACTCAATATACTATTTTATTTTTATTTTTTTGTGTTACTTGGGGATTAAACCCCTGGGTACTGTACCTCTTAGCTACATTCTGAGCTATTCTGAGTTATTCATTCATTCACTGATTTTTTTCCCACCTTTTTTTAATTGGTGCATTATAGTTATACATATTGATGGCATTTTTTGTTACATATTTGTACATGCATACAATATAACCATAATTTGACCAATATCACACTCTAGCACTTCTCCCTTCCTTCTATGCCTCCCACTCCTTGCTCCTTTTCCTCTGCTGATCTCCTTTTGATTTTTAGGAGATCTACCCCACATTGGTTTTCCTTCTGTCTGACTTATATGAGAGAAAACATAACGCCTCTTAACCTTCTGATTTTGACTTATTTCACTTAACATGTTGGTCTCTAGTTCCATCCATTTCCTGCAAATGACCTAATTTCATTTTTCATTATGGATGAATTAAACTCCATTGTGTATATATATCACATTTTCTTTATCCGTTCATCCATTAATGGATACCTGGGCTGGTTCCATAATTTGACTATTGTGAACTGTGATGGATATGCATGTATCACTATAGTATAATGACTTTAATAATTCCTCAATATAAATAGCAAGAAATGATATAGCAGGGTCATATGCCTAATCTTTTTTTTTATTAGTTGTTCAAAACATTACATAGCTCTTGACATATCATATTTCATACATGCCTAGTCTTTTAAGGAGGCTCCATTACTGATTTCCATAGTGTATTGAACTAATCTACAGTCCCATCCAACAGTGTAAAAATATTCCTTTTTCTCCATATCCTCTCCAGCATTTATTCTGCTTCGTATTCATGATGACTGCCATATGACTTGCATGAGATGAAATCTCAGTGTTGATTTGCATTTCCCGAATTGCTAATGATGTTGAACATATTTTTCTTGTATTTGTTGGCCACTTGTGTTTCTTCTTTTGAGAAGTGTCTTTTTAATTAATTTGCCCATTTATTAATTGGAGGTGGGGTTTTTTTGGTGTTAAATTTTGAGTTCTTTATATATTCTAGATATTAGTCCTCTGTCAGAAGAGTAGTTAGCAAACATTTTCTCCTAATCTGTGGGTTTTCTCTTCACATTCCTATTTGTTTCCTTTGCTGTACAAAAGCTTTTAAATTTGATGCTGCCCCATTTATTAACTCTTGGCGTTGTTTCCTTAGCTTTAGTGTTCCTATTGAGAAAGTTATTGCCTGTGCCTAAAAGCTGGAGCATTGACCCTGTGTTTTCTTCTAGCAGTTGCATAGTTTCTGGTCTAATTCCAAGGTCTTTGTTCCATTTGGGGTTGATTTTTGTGCAGGGTGAGAGATAAGTGTCTACTTTCATTCTTCTATGTATGGATAACCAGTTGTCCCAGCACTGTTAAAAGGGCTGTCTTTTCTCTGAGTGGATGTAATTGGCACCTTTGTCAAGGATCAGATGACAGTATCTGTGTGGGTTTGTCTGTTTTGTACCATCGGTGTAGGTGTCTGTTTTTATGCCAGTATCATGCACTTTTTATTAGTATAGCTCTGTAATATAATTTAAAGTCGGGTATTGTGGTAGCTTCAGCATTATTTTTTTGGCTTAGAATTGCTTTGACTATTCTGGGTCTTTTTTTTTTTTTCCAGATGAATTTTAGGACTGCTTTTCCTAGTCCTGTGAAGGATGTCATTGGTACTTTGAAGGGGATTGCACTGAATGTGTATATTGCTTTTGATAATATGGTCATCTTAACAAAATTTTCTGCCTATCCCTGATCATGGGATGTCTTTCCATCTTGTATCATCTTTAATTTCTTTCTTCGGTGATCTATAGTTTTCATTGTTGTACAGGTCTTTGACATCCTTGGTATTTTATTTTACCTTTTTGAGGCTGTTGTGAATGGGATTGTTTTCCTGATTTCTTTCTCAACAGATTCATTATTGGTATATAGGAAAACTATTGATTTTTGTAACCTGTGACTGCTGAATTTGTTGATTAGATCTAGCAGTTTTTTGGTGGAGCTTTTTTGATCTTATCATCTACAAATAGTGATAACTTGATTTCTTCCTTTTCTATTTTTATCTCTTTTGTTTGTGATTCTTTTTTTTTTTTTATCTCTTTTGTGAAAGAGAAAACAATAGAATTTGGCTGTTAGCAGAAGAAAAGAGAGAAAGAGAAACAGGAGAAGTAGACAAATGAAAAACACTTCAAAACATAACAAAAATATGCTAATAAAAAACCCTAACCCTCAACAGACAAGGCAAGGAAAAATAACTACATTTAAAAAAATACTAAAAATGAGAAAAAAGAAATAAATATATATATGTATGTAATATGTTCATGTACCAGTAATCACAGCAAAAACCAAAACAAACAAAAATCACACACAAAAATGAAAGAAAGATTCTTAAGTGAAAAATCAAGGAATTATTTCTACTGAGGTGGTCAAAATGGTCAGTGAGAATAGATGGATACTCTATGTGTAACTTTTTTCTGTTTGATCTTGGGTTATGGACAAGAGTAAGGGCTGTGGGTTGTTAACCCCTTCCTCTTTTTGCGTTGTTCAGCAAGCCGCCAGTTGGAGTGACCTAAGACTGAATTTGGTTCAAATAATGTCAGCTTCTCTTCTCCCCAGTATCAGGTAGGATGGGATGTTAAGTACTGTCAGTTGGAGTTTTGTCTGCACTGACCAGATTGATGTATTCCCAGGGTCAGTCCACTGCTGAGTTTTATGAGTGAAGTTCCAGCAGGTGCCGCTTACGTCTGATGAGTCTTCAGGGTCTTTGCTTGGTGGTTTCTGCTCTGGAGAGATTAGATCAGTACACCCCTTGGGCCTGGCAGTAGCCCATCTCTCCTGTAAATCTGGGTCTTGCGATCCTCCCAGGGATTCTATTCAAGTGGTAAGGATTCTATTCAACTGCTGGGTCAGTACAACATTTCCAGGCTTCCTAGGCTTAGTCACTGAGTGTCCATTCAGATTCCCAATCACTTCACCTGGTCACAGGAGCCACCAGACTCAAGGTGGAAGCACTTTTCTGACTTGAATCCCCTTGGGTAAAATATTTTCTCTATCTATTTTACTCCTATTCTGCTAGATACACGGGAGGCCACATGGTAGGCACTTGCTGAGACAATCTAGCTGTGTTTGTTCAGATCTCCCAGCTCCCACAGCAGGAGCTGCAGCATGGCCACCTCAATATGGTTCCTGTTCCAGCTCTTAATGGCCTGTTGGAAAACATGGGGCACTTTTCAACAACCAGTGTACAGTGCAACTTCTGGATCAGCTAAGGGCAGCCTGCTTTTCTGATCTCAGGTTTTTCTGTACTAAATCTGTCCATTGTGTTTCTCTCTGTTTCCCTTCTTTCAGTGCTGAACCAGTGCCACTACTGCTGCTACCGCATCTGGCTTGACTCTAATGTAATCTTTCTTCTTTTTTTTAATGTGTGCAAATTTCTGAGTCTAAGACACTCTGCCTGTCCTATTGAGTTTTAGTGAATTCCCTCTTTCATCCACCTCACAGAGAAGCAGGTACTCTTACTGATTGAATCCTGAGCTGCGGAACAACTGGGAATGCAGTCCTCTAGCCCATCATCTTGAATCCTAAATCACTAATTTATTTATTTATAGATAGTGTTTCATTAAATTGCCCAGGCTGACCTCAAACTTGTGGTTCTCCTGTCTCATTCTCCCAAGTAGCTGGGATTGTAGGCATCCATCACTGTGCCTAGTAATGAGGATACTTTCTTTGCCACTTTAAAGTATAGTTGTCGGCGTTAGGATAGTAGCTTTCAAAAATATCATTAAACATAGAATTCATTTTTGAAAATTTTTGTTTTAATTGCACTCCAAACTAAAAACAAGTCTTATCTAAAATATATATTAGATGAGTCTCTTTAGTGAAAGGTACACATACATCATTTACCTTTGGTAGTTTCTATAAGTAATGCTATCCTTAGGTTCAGTACTTTTCTTTTTAATTATTATTTTTAGCATTAAAGAAGAATAGAAGGTAAAAGAAGATGCTGGGATCTGAACGTGGTGTTGTGGAAGAATGGTTGTCAGAATTCAAGGTAAATTGGTGGGGATAAGAATGTATTATATGATTCTGTGTGTCAGTGGTTCAGATAGTGAATATGTGTTCAGTGGAAAAACATACAAGTATACAATGATATAGAAATGGAAAAATATGAAATAACATTTTTCTAATTACAGTTCTTTTAAAATGCACTGATGAGAATAAGGTCCAGAAGGGAATAGGTAAAAATGAAAATAATCGTTGGAATCGATGAAGTGATAATTAAATTTTAAAATATATTCAGTAAATGTTGGGTGGGATGGCGCACACTATAATCCAGATACTTGGGAGGCTGAAGCAGGAGGATCACTTGAGCCCAGGAGTTCAGAACCATTCTGGGCAACATAGGGAGACCCCATCCCAATAGAAACAAATGAAACAGTACAATAAAATTTGCTAAGAAAAAAAGAAGCTTTTACATGTCAATAAAACATAAAAACAGGATGTGTGCCTTATGTTTTTATTTCTTGTAATTAAAAGATGTAGTTGTGATAGAAAACTATGTAACGTAGTAGACTATTATGGAAATTGTTTTGTAAAAAAACATGGAAGAATTGCAATACATTCTACATTTATTATTATTTTTAGGTTAGATTAAGATGGCCCATTTCAGCAAATATAGGTGTAATGAGAGATTTCTAATCATTTTTCATGGTTGAGTAGTCAGAATTGTATGATATAGTTTGAAAACTTAATTTGTTTTACTAACACTCATGGTTATTTCTTATATTAATTATTTTTACTTTTCTGCTTGACTCTCATAGATCTTTTCAGGAGGCATTCATGAAATAATGTTCCTAAGTTCCCAAATATAAGTTCATTTTTGTTTTCCTTTTTTTTTAGGCATTACCTGACACTCAAATCACCAACTATGCAGCAACTTTACACCGGAAAAAAGCACTTGTACCAGCCCTCTATAAAGTTATTCAAGATTCAAATAATGAGGTAGGAAAATTGATAAGAAAACCAATTTCTGCATAGCAAAATGAAATACATGTACTAAAACACATAAACGTAAGTTTTGTAGTTTCTGTCCTTACTATGGATCTGGAAATTTTTCTTTCTGCTGTGTTTCATTCTGATAGTTGCTTTGGCTTTTCCCATTTCCTCCCTTTACATATTTTAAAATATTTTGGCACAATTTTTTCCTGTTGAGGACAGTATGTTTTGATTCTTGATTTGAGTGACCATCATCTCAATAGATTATTTAATTTGAAACTTGTCTATTTCCCATTCTGGAATGTTTTCCTGCTTTGGAAGCCAAATTTTAAATGTGTACTGATTCAGTTTTCTGTATTTTAATGTTGTTTACTGTTATTTTATTAATAATATAGAACTATGTATAATCACTCTAATCAGTGAAATCAAACTTAAGTAACACAAAATGATGCTGCTAGTAATTTTAACCTGAAAATGATTAGAGGATGTTAGTCTAAATAGTCAAAATTAATAAACTTAGAATAACAGTTTCCTGTCATTCAATCTTATAATAGAAGGACAAAAATGCTGCTATTGAATCTATATATTAGCTTATGCCAAATACACACATTATCTTTCCATTAACACAATAGTATGACATGTAGTTTTATCACCACTGGATTCATGTATGCTTTAAAATGAAAATGAAAGGAACACACAGGAAAGTAGCTTCTTATCTTCCCAGATACAGCCTCCAAGAATGCCTCTGCTGTGTACTGGAGTGAGTTTGAAGAAGTTCAGGTAATCATCTCCTAACCAGCAGCTTAACTTAAAATGCATCTTCATTTTTGTTCTATCACTAAAAGCCTGCTTATTGACTTCTTTCTTTCCTGTCTCCTAAATTTGGATTGGCTTTTGTTAGACTTGCATCTGTTGATATTTGTAGTAGCAATCACAGGATTCATTTGCTTCTTTTTCTCTTGCAGTGTATTTCTGAATGTTTTATAACTTTAGGTATGGATAATGTATATAATGTGTATCCTTGGCCAAGTGTGTTCAGAATTCTCTGTTTGATTAATGAATGCGTGTTCCCTATCCCTTGTTTTATGCTGTCTTAACATATAAGCTTTGCTTATTAAAAATTTATTTGTTTTATAGCTTCTCTTTAGATTGTAAGCTCTTCATGGGCAGTGGTCATAGATTCTGTATTTGTTATTTCTTAGAATCTAGTATTTTGTCATGTATAAAAGAACATGTAATAAGTATCAATTGGGTTGAGAGTTTAGCTCAGTGGTAGAGTGTTTGTATAGTATGTGGGAGGCCCTGGGTTTGATCAGCCCAGCATCACTAAATAAATAAATATTGTTTGCAGAAACAGTGAAAATCAGAAAGATTCTAGAATGCTGTGATTTTCATTAGGACTTACAGTGTATAAAAAATATCTTTTTTCTTTTTTTCATATTTTGAGAGCTATGGCATTTTTATTTTTTTTAAACTTTCCTCCTCTAAGTTGATATGACATTTGAAAAGTCATTCTATTACTTTATTTTGTCACACTTATTAATAATATTAACATTTAGGATCTTGTAGTTGTGTCTAGAAATGGAGACAATGTAACCTGAGAGTTCAAGACCCATTATTCATTATATTATTTTACATAATCATCAAGCCACTAAAGCAAGTCTGGGTTTCAAGTCTTCTGTCAAGTCAGGTTCTGTGTGTCCAAGCTTCAGAAAAACAAAACAGAATGATAAGTTGTATAGGATCTTAAAAACAGTTCTGGAGTTTACTCATAGAAGCTTTTTGTTATATTTTAAAACATATATTATATTTGGCTTTTGCCATATATACACACTGAGACCTGATTTGATTATATTCTGAAACATAAACAGATGGATTATTTAGTTAACAAGTTGTTAGAGATACTGGGGTGCCAGGAAAAATCAGATGTGTACTTGGAAGTGGCTGGGCAAGACAAAATTTACTTTTGCAGAAGGGTGTGCTACTGATCAAGGATTGGAAAGCAAGCACACATGGGAGGCAGAGCAGTCCGCCTGTTTTTATTCCTAAAGCAACACTGCCCCTTGCTCTGACAGGAGCTCAGGGTCATAATCTACCTGGTCAGCTAATTTTAAAATTGGGGCAGGCAAAGGGAAGGTCTATCATTATGATTGGAAACAGATAGGGGAGCTCAAAATGGCTACATTTTAAGCACATAGTTTTGTAACTTAAATGGTTCTGCCCAACCACACATTGTGAAATTTAAGTGTTAGCTTATAATAAAAATTTCTGGTACATATGGGGAAACTAAGACTATGAGTTTAACTTGGACAGAAAAGAGAACATTAATCTTATAAAGTCATTTCAGAAAATGGTCATATTTAATATGAATTGGAAATTATGGCAATCTTCCAGTTTTGCTTTAAAGGCCATCAGAGTTCTTTGGAAAGTATATTTCCTAGAAGTTTCTTTTTTTTTTGGTACAGGAGATTTTGGTACCAGAGATTGAACTCAAGGGCACTCGACCACTGAGCCACATCCCAGGCCTATTTTGTATTTTATTTAGAGACAGAGTCTCACTGAGTTGCTTATTAGCACCTCACTGTTGCTGAGGTTGGCTTTGAACTTGCAATCCTCCTGCCTCAGGCTCCTGAGCCGCTGGAATTACAGATGTGTGCCATCACACCTGGCTAGAAATTTAACATCATCGCCAAACTATGCTAAAACTTTAGTTTTAGTCTATAGACGGTAAGACCAACGGTCTTGTTTTATCTTTTTCTTTTCCTCTACCAGATCCCTTAGTCACATCTAGCAATTCCACTTCTTAGAGTCCTTCAATCCTTTTCATAACCCTATCTTTTTTTGAAGATTTAAATGCCTTTCCTCTTCCTTTCAGTGTAGTTAAATTTTCATGGCTGATTATTACAGTCATGTCCTTGCAAACATTCTTAGCTTCTTTGCCTCTTATTCCCTTAGTTCATATTCTTTGGGCAAAAATCTCAAAACTGGACAAAACCTAGCTATCTATTTTGGTCATGCCTGTACCTGAACAGCTGAGCATGCCTAAAGAAAATGCTTTTTATAAATTTTTTTTTTAATTTTAAATTCAAGACTACAAATTTCAAATAAGCACATAATAAGTAGCCTTGCAGTCTTAATTTACTTCCTTGGTACACTGTCCTACTCTTCATTTTATATTTTCTGTGACCTCATACTCTTAACCTCCTTCCTCTTCTTTCTCAGTGTGCTATGTAAGTATTAATAAAGAATACAGTTGGAAACTCTCTTCTTTTTCTGTTCATATCCACCACTAAGCCAGAATCTCAGCTCTCATTCTTATCCTTTTTGCTGTTTTGTAGTTGAAATGGTAAACAATCATATTTCACTTTTTAAAAACCCTTAGTCTTGCCTTCTATTTTATTACCTATTCCATTTTTTGTCTCTCTTCACAGATGAATTTCACAAATTATTGCTCATTTATAGCCTCTGTCTACTTGTTTTCATTTCTTCGCCTCACATTTTTTCTTTAACTCATTTAGGTTAAGCTTAGATCTCTATTATTCTACCCTAAATGCTCTCAATGTGTTAATCAAGTAGCTTTTATTTTAGTACTTGTACCAAAACAATATTTGCCAAATTTGGGAAAGGTGGCAATTATTCTTAAGCTTTTTAGCCCAAGGAAAATGACTTTTAACATTTGTGATGTGGGCCAGAGTATCATATGTGAGGACAGTGTCATTTATTGAAATTTGAGAACATAGTAGCATGATACTTATACTTAGAATTAAAGGTTTGAATAGTATTGGCAAGTTTTTATTTTGTAGGGTTAATCTGATTAACAGTTTATGGATTCTTAGTATCTCCCTTTCCTTTGAAAAATAATACAATAATAATTTTGGAAACTCTATATTTCTTTGCTATGCTTAGTTAAAATATAGTGTCATGTATGCCAGTGTACTCTTGCTGCTCAGAAAGGAGGATTAAACTCTTCAAAAGAAATTCATTGTATTTGTATCATGGTCCATAAAATTTAAAGAAGACAATTTTGGAGGTTCTTTTACTAAAGAGGAGAGCAATTTGAATAAGTATATATTTTTAACAAATTTATGAAAGCTGCCACAGTCTCTTAATTCCTCAGAAGAGCGAAACAGTACTGTCAGCATTTTAAAAAGATGCCAGTAATTGATTATTTTAAAAAATGTATTACTTGTTCATTTTTAGTACTGTATGAATTAAACAACCCTCACTCCTTTTCTAGTATAAGAAATGTGGTAGAGTGGAAAAACATCAACTTAATGTTAGAAGACTTGAGTTCAGCATTTTCCTCCACCACTAACTTCTGTGTCATTTGACATATTGTTTGGCCTAGACTAGTTGAAATGTAGCTTAAGATTTTAAACTACACCCTGATAATGACTTCACAAAAAGGGCTTAGTGTTGACTAGACTAGGATATGTGTGTGTATGTGAATCTTTTACACTTTAGAGTTATTCCTCAAGAGCTAAGCTTAATGTAGTAAATATTAACTGTACAGTTGGTATAGATTTATTGACTTTTAATTTGTAAAGTAGTGACTTTATTCTAGAGTGTTATATTATTACAGACGTATAACTATTCAAACAGATTTTTAAATTTGTTACTTTAGTCATTTATAAGTAAGCATTTGAAATTACTATAACTATTTTTAAAGGGTTAGTATTAAATTTTAAATTAAAAATTACTTTGTAGTTTCTTGTTATCCTATTATATGCATTTAAAAGTTATAGCAAATTACATTCATTCTGCAGTTACTCTCCAGCGGACCTATTTTAAATTGACAATATGTGTAACTGCTCATTTTCTTGTTTTCAAGGTCATGAAGTCTCTAATAAGTTGTTTTATGTGATAACATATGAAGAATTAGCCAGTTTAACATTGAAAAAGTTATTTGTGCATCTTTCAAAATCTTTCAAATAAATTAGTGAAATTTTAAATCTGTTTTATGATTTATAGGTAGTCAGTTTGCTTCACTTGTATGTACTTAAAATATTAGCTAGAATTTTGTATGCCCCAAAAGTATTTACTACAATTTATTTAATCAGTCTCTCTTGAGATTTAAAGTATTTCCAGCAAGACCTTTTGAAATTATTTTATTCCAATGGAAATTTTAAAAGAGTTGGTAAGAGCAGAAAAAGAAATTATTAAGTATAAATGTAGTACATTGGCTAAAGGATTAATGGTCTAATAAATTTAGTAGCACAGGATTTTAAAAGATTGGTGTGCCAGGTGAAATAGCACATATCTGTAATCCCAGCTATTCAGGAAGCTGAAATAGGAGTATCCCAAGTCCAGACTAGCATGGGCAAATTAATGAAAAATAAACATAAAGATGGTAAGAGATGTAGCTCAGTAGCAGGGTGTTTACCTAACATGCCTGAGGTAAATTATTTGATGTCAATCCCTAGTACCACCAAAAAATAAAAACAAAGGAACAAAAATGTGTGGTGATATTATATGGGTACAAAGTACTTTTTATAGTTAGTGCATTGATCAGTTTAATATGTGGTCTCTTTACATAGAGATTACAGAGATATTGGTTGAATTAACTCAAAATACAAAGAAACTAATATAGAGGATTTATATTTAAAACATTATACTTATGTATGTACCTGTTAAGAAATATAGTTAGAACCAAAAAAATGGAAATAATTACTGCACTTTTATTTCTTTTAGCTCCTGGAACCTGTTTGCCACCAGCTATTTGAACTCTATCGTAGCTCTGAAGTTCGACTGAAGAGGTTCACGTTACAGTTCTTACCAGAATTGATGTGGGTTTATTTACGGCTTACAGTTAGCCGAGACAGACAGAGTAATGGTTGCATTGAAGCACTTCTGTTAGGAATTTATAATTTGGTAAGTTGAAAATGGTAGTTTGTGATATATAAAATACTTTTAAAAAGTCCTCTGAAATCATATTTAAGGAATATTTTGAGAAAATTAAATTGAAATATCTACTGAATAATTTGAACTAATTAAGTATAATAGATAAGCATTTTATAAAGTAGATGAAACTATAATTGATGGCATTGTTAATCTTAGGACTTATTTCTTCAAATTATTTTATTTGATCACGATTTATGAATGCTTTTTGTGTAAGGAATTGAGTTGACTTCAATGTTGTTCCTGCTTTTAGGGCAACTTATGCTATATTAGAGAAGATGTTTACACATGAATAATAATGAAAAGTTTGTATGAAAAAGAACTTCAGAGAGAAACTGAAATCTTTGCTGAAGTTTTGGCCAACTTTACTAAGGAAATGGAATTTAAGCTGGGTCTTATGAAGAGGAATAGTTTTGACAGGTTGAGATTAGAAGTAGGTGAGATGATAATCAAATGAGCATAAGCAAAGAAGCAGGGAAGTCATGTCATACCCTGGAAAAAGGAAAGTAATTGAAGCACAGAAGGAAAAATGCAAGCTAGGAAAAATGATTTTTATCAGTTTTAGACAGTCTTTAAAGTGAAGAGTTTAGGTTTTCTTTAGTATGCATTGGGAAAGCAGCTTTGAGCAGAAGAACTGTGCAGTGTATTAGAAAGGTGAATCTGGAAGTTGCAGAGACCTTGGGATTATAAATTGAATTTAGTCATCACTCCTTATATTTTGAAGGCAACATGTTTAATTGAAAAGAGTAGGAGAAGTAGACATGGGATTCCTGTTCTCTTAGGAGAGGATATCAGTTAGGGGGAAAAGTCCAATATACTGTTAAAGCATACTATGATTTTGTAAATCTGAGTAAGAACACAATGGAAACTAGAGTGAGAAAAGAAACAACTAATACTTGATAGTATAATTTGAAGACTGACATGGGGAGGGTATGTTAGAAAGGAAAGGAAGTACTTACTAGGTTACAAGGACTGTACAAAGTGAGGTGAAAACGTGGGAGAGAGTTGGGGAACATGGGAACATGATGACCCTTACATATGACCCTTCTGAAGATTTGGGCAGCAAGACTTTTTCTGTGCAATGCAAGGGAACAAAATAATACATTATATTTCTACCCTCATATGCCTTCTTTACAGAATTGGAAAATTACCTGAGTTCATCAATAAAGAATTGTGAATATTATGATTATATGTTGGAATCATTGATGGGGGAATGGTTGAGAAATTACTGGCTTAAAACTTAAATGCTTCTGTTGAGCTTCATAATATAGAGGTTACATAGATATTTCCAAATCAAAGTGTAGTTTTTCACCCAGAGTGTAGTTTGATCATTAAAATTTGATATAGCAATTTAAAAATGTTAATTATGATTTGATACTGCATTCTTCATGAAACTCTTCTTTTTTAGTACCTTAAAAATTAGTATTGCTTTTGCTTTTTTCATCATGCTTAATTTAAGACATTTTTGTAAAAATTTCTGTCCTTTGAAGTCTTGTGTTCTTTGTATTCAATATACTCTGCAAACAATACTCCACATAATAACATTTGATTTTATAGTTGAGAGGTATAAAGTACTAGATAATTGAGCTTCACAATAAATATTCTATAGCAGTGCTTTTTCCTTTAAGTCTTATCATTTAAATCATTGGAAAATATTTTCCATTACTGGAAGTCTGAAGGAAGGAGTAAGGGCTTTAGAATCATTCATATTCAATTCAAAATCATGAGGTACTATTTATTGGCTATTTTAAATTTTGAGCAAGTTACTTAATATCTTGACTACTGTTGCCTCACCTGCAAAACAAAAATAAAACGTTGTTAGTAGAATTAAAAGTAATTGAAACCAAGTGGGCGGGGTGCCACACACACCTGTAATCCCAGCAGGTAGGGAGTCTGAGGCAGGAGGATCTTGAGTTCAAAGCCAACCTCAGTAATAAGCTAGGTACTAAGCAACTCAGTGAGACCCTGTCTCTAAATAAAACACAACATAGGGCTAGGGATGTGGCTCCATGGTTGAGTGCCCCTGAGTTCAATCCCCAGTACCAAAAAAAAAAAAAAGGCAATTTGAAGATATTTAATAAATGTTTATCATTTTTATTGTCATCATACTTGAGGGTAGGCTTTTTTTTTAATGAAAAACTAGTCTAGGAGTAAAATTTTCTACTTGCTAACTTACTTGATTATTTTTTCTTTTAAAGCAGGATATTTGTTTTATGTATCCTGTGTTTTCTCTAGTGTTGGCTACATATTTAGTAATGTTTGCTGATTTAGTAATTTAGTGTTTTAGATTATTTAACATTAAGCTGTCATTTTTATTAATTTGTTTCATGTAATAAAATTTAGTAATTGGATAAATGAAAGATATTTTGTGAAGCAGATTGTTTGCAAGTTATTGGCAGTACTTATTGGTTTTAATTATATTTTGACACTTCAAAAATAGCATACTATATAGGAAAATGCCAGTTATAAGTCAGAAATTTAACCTCAGGTTTCTGACTTTTAATTCCCATAATAAATGTATTCTCTTTTCTCTGTGGTTCTCAGTTTTTTCTTATTCTTTTTTTTTCCTATGTACTAATTTCTCTCTTTTCCTCCATTTCTTCCCCCCACCCCGCCCAAATAACTCCAGAGGGAGTTTTATATGGCCTTTAACAAGTTTCAGCATATCTTTCTCCATAAATACACACAAAGATAACTTCAAAATATTTGGCTAAATGGTATACTTAATAATAAAAATTGAATTTTTTTTGCAGGGGGTATGTCTAACTTAAATCAGGCCCCTTTATCTTAGCATAAACATTCTTTGCAATACAATGACCAAGGTGTGGTAATAACTAGTTTGATTACAAAGAAGCTATGTGGGGTCTCTGGAGACTTTTCTTGCCAAAATTCGAGAATGGTATTTGTTCATGTGTAATTTGTACTCTTTCGTAACATAGTAAACTCAGAAATGAGTCCATTGGGAAGTTCTTTCAGGTTTGTGTCTTAGTGATGATAGTTGTTTTTATTGTTATTCTGTTTATTGTTTTTCTTTTCCTTTTATGCTGTGCTGTTACTCATTCTCTGACTACCTGCCATTCAGGTCTACTAAGGACAGTATGGGTTTTAAGCCAGTGATGTGTACTAATATGAGTTATAAAGAAACATAAAAGTAAGGCAATAGGCAAAAACAAAGATGCTGCAGCTTATCGCTCCTGATTGTCATTCATAGGCAGATGTTTATTGATACCTGAGGAAGTTTACAGGAACTAGAGGCTGGAGAAATGAAGGACACCTTTGTTCCTTTTATGAAGAGATAATGTTGTTTAAAAAAACAAATCACAAAAATTTTCTTGAAGCTCAGTAGAAATTATCTAAATGTAAATTTATTTTTAATCTCGTGGACTGATCAGTTATGTTAACATGGTTTATTTTAGTTCAGTAGTTTATTGCTGAATGATTGCAAGAGGTTTTTTTTCTTTTTTAATTCAGGATTCATTCTTAAGAAAGATGACAGGTATTGTGTATATTAGTTTGATTGTGGTTGTAACATGCTGTACACAATAAATACATGTAATTTTTATTTGTTAATTATGCCTCAGTAAAGCTGGAAAAAAATCCATTCTGCATTACAACAATGTTTTAATCTCCCTGTTCTATATGTAAATTTAACATAAAATTGATTTATGTGCCTGCTTCTTGTATTGATTTAGTGTAATACTATGCTCAGTAGATCTCTGTGGGTTTTAAATATTCCCATAGTATACAAATTTGCTGATAATTAAGTTATAAAAAATATGATAGGGTAGTAATATGTTTAATATATCATTTTTTAAATTCTTTAGTTACCAGTTATATTCTATAAATTAAGGAAGTAATTATTTTTTCCGTACAGTATAAACCTGTGATTATTTCATTATCTTTGTGCTTTTTTTGTGTGTGTGTGTGTGACTATAGGAAATTGCTGATAAAGATGGAAATAATAAAGTTCTGTCTTTCACTATCCCTTCCTTATCCAAGCCTTCAATATACCATGAAGTAAGTAACCTGGGGAAGATGTGATTGTTATATTGAGATATGATATATATAATATATATTATTATATTGATATACAAAGCCATTTTTTAAAAACCAGAGATAGAATCCTAACATATGTTTACTGACTTGTTTCTTTATTTTTTAGTATATCTATATTTTTAGCTGTTGATGGACCTTTGTTCGTTTTATTTATGTATGTATGTATGTATGTATGTATGTATGTATGTATGTGCGGTGCTGAGGATCCAACTCAGTGCCTCACAGATGCAAGGCAAGTGCTCTACCACTGAGCCACAACTTTAGCCTCTGACTGATTTCTAAAAAAGTAGATGTTTGTGCCAGATGTAGTGGTTATGCCTGTAATTCCAGCAACTCAGGAGGTTTAGGAAGGAGAGTAGAAGGTTCAAGGCCAGTCTTGGCAACTTAGTGAGACCCTGTCTCAGAATAAAAAATAAAAGAGCTGGAGATGGAGCTCAGCACCCCTGAGTTCAATCCCCAGTACCACCAAAATAAACAAACAAACAAATAAATAAAATCAGTCGTTTATTAGCTTGGCAATGTGGTGCACACTGATAACCCAGCGACTTAGGAGGCTAAGACAGGAGAATGCAAATTATATGTTTGTATTATATTTCCAGCCTGCCCTTTTGTTATTGGTGATGTTAAGACTGAACTTTGTGAAGAGAGGTGGAAAGTAGTTAATGAAAAAGCTTCCTTTAGTTCTTATTTCTTCTACCACCAGTATCATTTTAATTTTTAAAATAGATTTTTGTGGATTTTTAAAGATAAATCTTACTTTTAAAAGTCTTCCATATCCCTTAGAAACTATCTGTTAAATTGTTTCATTTTTACTATTCTTTAGGAAACTGACTACTTAGAATGTTAACACCATTGTATTTCAGGGTAAAGGAGTCTAATTCACACAATCTAGCTAATCAATAACATTATACTTTTTTGCTTACCTTTATTTTGTTGAATATGAGAACACTGATAATTATATGGGTAGATGATGCCTGTCAGGCTGAACTCTTTCTTCCTGCTCTCTTTAAGTAAAATCCAACAAAGAAGTGAATCAAACTTGTGATCTTCAGTGTTCAGTGCATAAAATTGTGAGGAAAGTATTTACAGAAACATTCTAAAAATTATATTCCATTTTCCTGTCAACATAGTATCTTTCTTGTCTAATAGCTGCATACAGCAATTAACTTTCATAATTAATTCCCCTGGACTTTGTTTTCTGTTGAAATAGAAAGTCTCCTGTTTAGCCAGAATTCATTTTTAGCATAGACTACTTCATAGATTTCTACTAGCATAGATTTTATGTAAGTTCTTGGTATTGTGTTATGAAATAAAATGGAAGATAGTGAAACACTAATGAGTTTTTTTTTTAACTTGAGAAACCTGAAATCGTTTATGTCAGTATTAAAAAAAAGACTTGCCAGGTGTAGTGGCTCACGCCTATAATCCAGCGACTTGGGAGGCTGAGGCAGAAGTATTGCAAATTCAAAGCCAGATTCAGCAATTTAGTGAGGCTCAAAGCAATTTATTGAGACCCTGTCTCTAAATAAAACATAAAAAAAGGATCAGGGATGTGGTTCAGTGCTTAAGCACTCTGGGTTCAATCTCCAATTACCCTTCTCCCCCTGCCAAAAAAAACCCAAAAACTTTAGATTATAGTCCTCAATATTGTTTGTATTAAATGATTATAAGCAATTGTGATCTTTTCTGGAGTACAAAAAAAATAAAATTGATTTTTTTAAATGACTGATTCCTAGTCATTCCATAACTTTGAAAAAATGAAGCAGTATGTTTTTAATTTTATCTATTTTACATACATAATTTCCTAAATAAGCTATAGAATTTGTATAATTGAGAAATGGAAAAGATTTCAAAGGAGAAGAATAAATTATCTGATACTGCCTTTGTTTTAGCAAAAATAAATATGATTACATGATACAAACTTTATTTTAGAGACACTATCTGATACTGTACCTTATTTTGGTAGCCCTCAACAATTGGATCTATGGCTTTGACAGAAGGGGCTTTGTGTCAACATGATCTCATCAGAGTTGTTTATAGTGATCTTCATCCTCAGAGAGAAACATTCACTGCACAAAACAGGTAATGGACAAAATTGTACATGGTAACAATTGTAAATTTATGCTTCATAGTTAACCATGATTACTTCAGTTTAGGTTTGATATAAGAACAGTTCAAAAGCAAAGTGGTGAAATACATGGTAGTACAGATTGAGCATCCTTAATCTGAAAGTCAAAAATTTGAAATGCTCCAAAATCTGAAACTTTTTGAGTGCCAGCATAACACTGCAAATAGAAAATTCCATACATGACTTCATGTCATTGGGACATAATAAAAATGCAGGTACACTAAAATTATTGTATAAAATTACCTTCACTTTATGTATATAAGGTATGTATAAACATAAATTAATTTCTTGTTTATACTTGGGTCTGAACCCAAGATATTTCATAAATATTCCCAAATTCAAAATTCTTCTGGTTCCAATCATTTTGGATAATGGTTATTCATCTTGTAGTTAATACCCATCTATCTAATGCTTGGTAATATGTTATGGTAATCTTATATAAAACTTGTAGAGTGTGGGTGTGGAGTCAGCCAAACCAGTATTCATGTTCTAGTACTGCAATGTGGAATGTGCCCTTGAGGCATTTTATCTAATCTCTACACTTTGCTTTTTTGATTATAGAATGGAATTAGTACCTAATGTCAGATAAACTGCAAAGTTTGAGGGCACAGTTCCAAGACTGTCCTCAATTCTGATAGCAACAAAAGTTTTCTGGAGGGGGTGGGGACCCCCAAACCACCCTTTTGTTTAATGATTTTCTAGAAGAACTTTCAGAACCCAATAAAAGCCATTGTACACAGCTGTGATTCATTATAGGGAATGGATACAAATTAAAATCAGCCCAAGGAAGAGATGTGTGGGGTAGAATATGGGAGGACCCCCAAAACACAAAGTTTCTATTTTCCTTTCCCACAGAGTCAGAATACCTCCTAGCATCAATGTATGACCATATACACAGAGGGTTGATGTCTCAGGAAACTCTCAAGCTTTGATTTCCAGAATTTTGTTGAGGCCTCATTGTGTAAGCATGAGTAGTTAAATTGATTGCCCATATGGTTGATCTCAGCTTCCAACTTGACTGATACAGTATGACCTGAAGCCATCACATTAAATCACACTGTGGTTCTTTCTGGCATAGCCAGCCCCCCCACCTAAAATGTCAAATGTGGACAGCACTACCCTAAGTTTTGCTGTCACCTATCCCTACCCTAAAAGATATTTCTTTTTTTTTTTTTTAATTTATTTTTTTTAATTGGTTGTTCAAAACATTACAAAGCTCATGACATATCATCTTCCATACATTTGATTCAAGTGGGTTATGAACTCCCATTTTTTACCCCAGATACAAGTTGCAGAATCACATCGGTTACACATCCACATTTTTACATAATACCATATTAGTGACTGTTGTATTCTGCTACCTTTTCTATCCCCTACTATCCCCCCTCCCCTTCCCTCTCGTCTTCCCTCTCTACCCCATCTGCTGTTGTTTAATTCTCTCCCTTGTTAAAAGATATTTCTAATTAGTTACTTCCTAAAAGCAAGGACCAGTCTTCTCTTTGGGCAAGGCCAGTTACTTACTATATAGGCCACGTCCTGGTCATTGACCAAGGCTCTTTTAAGCAAAAATAAACGCGTTTACCTGGATAAACACATTTAGTATAGCATTTGTATAACACACAGCATACTATCATCATGAATATGTCTAACTAACATTTGGAGAAGGTAATATAAGTTAGGAATTTAAAGAAATAACTAACTTGCCTTTTAAAGCCACTGTAAGCATTTTGTAGCAATTTGGTCTACTTTGTGATATACTTAGGCAGAAATGTTTTTCATAGAAATTAGCTGATGATTAATTAAACCTAGCAGTTTTCATTAGTATTCATACTGAGGAGATTTTACCTCAATTTAGGAGTACATTTACTCATTAAGATCAAAATTATGTGCTAGGGTTGTAGCTCAGCGGTAGAGTGCTTGCCTCTCATGTCTGAGTCCCTGGGTTCGATCCCCAGCACCACATCTACAACTAAAAAAAAATTTTTAAAAAGATCAATATTATAACTTTACCAGTAATGTCAGTGTTGTACCATATCATAAGATAGCAGTAGATATAACCTGTCAGAGGAGGGGATTTACATACCTCCATTAAAAAGAGGAGGTATGTAAATCCCCTCCTCTTTTTAACGTGGTTGGCTTTCTATATCTATGTATTCTATATCCATGTATTCAACCAACCATAGATGGAAAGTATTTGAAAAAAATTGCATTTGTACTGAACACATATGGACTTTTTTCTTGTCACTCTTCCCTAAACAATACATTATAACAATCATTTATATAATGTTTGCATTTATTAGGCATTATGGGTAATCTAGAGATGATTTAAATGTGTGTAGGTAGGTACACATAAGTTATGTGCAAATACTGTATTGTTCTATATAAGGATTTAAGCATCTGTGGATTTTGATATTACAAGGGTTCTTGAACTGATTCCCCCTGATGAATAACTCCTAGGCAGGAGAAAGCATTCTCCAGACACAGACACATTTCTGTAGTCATTGACCTCTGATGAAGTGCTTGGCCAGAATTCTATTTCTTCTTACCATCTTATAGATTTTACACATATGGTAGAAAATGGTATGATTTTCCATATGTCCTGACATGTTGTTTGGAATATAACTTTCATGATTGTTTTTATAAGCAAGGTGCTTTATATTTATAACTCTTGGAGAAGACTTTATCCCAACTTTAAATAACAGGGTTTTTTGTTTCTATGTAGTAATGTTGATTTACTCAAATCCTTCCACAATATAAACTTAATATATTAAGAACATTGGCTCATAAATAGTCTGAAGACTTCCTCATATAAAATCACCTAGTTTCCTGATTCCTTTTTGTTTTATAATTTAAATTATTTAAAGAATAAAATTACATACTTGTGGTAAATTTAAAATAGAACTTGGAATAAAATGAAAATAGATGAGAATGCAAAGAGTAACATAAGTGTAACTTCATCCTTCCAATCACCCATTTCTACTTCCAGTAATTAAACTGTTAGCAGTTTTTTATGTGTCCTTTTAAAATGATTTATATGTACATAGCATATATTAAACCTTAAACACACGCAGGCCCATATACATGGGATTTAGTTGTGTATATTATTTAACAATTTGCTTTATACACCAAAGAATAGATCTTTAACTTCTTCCTCTAGCAGTGCATATAGATCTCTTCATTCTTTTTTCTTTCTTTCTTATTTTTGCACTGTCAAGGATTGAATGCAGGGCCTTACATATGTTAGGCAGCCTCATTCTTCTTTAATGAGTACTTGTTATTTTGTTTTATATATGTACTGAGGAGATTTTACCTCAGTTTTGCTTTTTTTTTGAGCCCTGTATTCCTGGGCTCAAGAAATTCTCCAACCTCATCCTCCTCAATAACAGGACTAAAGACACATGCCATCAGGTCCAGCTGTACCATCAGTTTTTTGGCAGTCTCATATTGAATAAATTTAGATTGTTATCAGTTTTTTGCTGCTATAAAGAATACTGCAAGAAACACATATTTCTCTGTATGTTTTTCATGAGAGCACAAAAATTATCTACAATAATTATCTGTATGATAAATTCCTGGCGGTGAGTTGTTAATGCTAAGGAATGTATACTTATTCATTTGGTAGATATTACCAAATTACCCTCCACAAAACAACTGTACCAATTGAATGTTCCACCAATGACTTCAGAGTGCCTATTTCCTCTTTTTGACCAATTTGATAGCTAAAACTTGATGTCATTTTGTATTCATTCATTTTAGCTGGGGCTTAAATACATTTATGTATTAGTTCATTTTTTTTCTTGACCTATATCCTGTATCCTTTTTTCATATTGTACTGTATATTTTTTTCCTTACTGATTTGCAATATTTTGAATGTTGAAATAATAACACTGTTTTACTTGTTGCGCATTTTCAGTTAATTATTGGCTTTAACTTTATTTTTAAATATAAATATAATTTACATACCACAAATTCTGAATGTCACTGCAAAATTGCTTGGTGTGGGCCTATTCCATCCATTCTGAACACTAAGTGGACCTTTTAGATTTGGAAACTGATGCCCTTCAGACTGGAAGTTTTCTCGAATTGTTATTGTTAATTAGTTCGGACTTTCCTCTTTATATAATCTTTCATCTGGAGCTCTTTTAATTTGGATATTGGATCTCCTAGATCCTTTCCTTTTTCATTTGCCATGGCTTTACTTTCTGAGACTGTTCCTCAACTGCATTCACCAATCATTCTTGACGTTTTGGTGGTACTGGGGATTGAGCCCAGGGATGGCTTTACACTGAACTTTGGACACCCCAGCCCTTTTTTTATTTCTTATTTTGAGACAGGGTTTTGCCAAGTTGCCCAATCTGACCTTGAACTTGGAATTCTCCTGCCTCTGCCTCCTGAGACACTAGGATTAAAGGTGTGCAACTTTGCGCCTGGCTTTCTTGAGTTTTTAATTCTTGCAGTTTTTTTTTTTTTTAATCTAAAAAGCTTTTACAGATCTCTGAATACTTTTTGAATAGATGTATTTTTGAAATTATATCTTCTTATTTTTGAGAATATTAATAGTATAGTAATTAGTTACGAAAAGTTATTTTTTCTTTATATGCTAGTTTCATCAAATTGCCTTTTTCCTTTTTTAAATTTTAGTCTCTTTCATATTAATAGAGTTCCTCATTTGTTTAGTAGTCTTTTTTCCCCCCCTTATTTAAAAGTAGGGGAATAAAAATAAGAAGCTCTGACCACATTAGTGGGCTAATTGTGAGCTTCCCTGTTGGGTGATCTCACTGTGCCACTCACTTGGGAAATTTCATGAGTCCGAATCTTGGAAGTCTTTCCCTTAAGAGTCATCAAATTCATCTAGTTCCCTAAGTAGTGGGCTGGCTGGTAGCATTCTGATGACTGAGTGGCGAAGGAGAGCTTGAGGTCTCAATATTCAGCAAGTCATATTTGACTTCAATCTTTGTTTAGTATTACCCCCTCACCCCTACACACACATCAAATCACAGTTGTGCCTGTTGGCTCCTAGGCAAGAATTCTCTTTTATCCTTTCAGAAAATAAATCTTCAGTATTACCTAGATGTATGGATAAGGAGACTGGATTTGAAGGTATGACTGCTTTCAAATCAGGCTTTCACCTTTCACCTTTTTATTTCAAAATAATTTCAGACTTAACAAAAAATGTGGCAAAAATAATGTAAAGAGTTTCCACATACCATTTACCATCCATCTGTGGAAAGGCTTTTAAAAGTACAACTCCTCTGGGTCTTGTCCTCAGAGGTTCTTAATTGGGTCACTCTAGATGGAGACATAGGAACATATGTTTTTAAAAAGTCTTGTATAACTAGTATGGATCCAGGTTTAAGAGCCACTTTTTTTTTTAGAGACTATAAATATTAGAAAAGCATTTATTTATTCATTCAATAACTATGTATTAAGCAATTATAATATATTAGACACTGTGCTAGACATTAACAATACGGATGAAAAAGTCAGGTTCTTTGTCCTAAAGTTGCCTGTAACTAAATGAGTAAAACCAAGAAAGAGGGAGAAAGTTATAATTCTGTAGAATAAATGCTGTTTTAGACCTGCAGTTTTCTTCAGCTAGGATAATTAAGAATAGCTTTATGTCTAAGGTAAAAATCTGAGCTGGGAGCTGGGGGAGCTCAAAGGTAGAGCAGTTAACTAGCATGCATGAGTTTCTGGGTTCAGTCCCTAACACCACTTGATCCAAAACTTGAAACCTTAGCGGGAATTTTCCAAATAAGAAAGTATTGTAGTAAAAAGGAGCAGCATGCATTAAATTAGGAGTTACAAAAGCTTATAACATAATCATGGAACGGTGAGAGGATTAATGTAGCATGTAATGTATATGTAGTGGGCAGTGAAGGGGAGGAATAAAGCTGGAGAGGTAAGTTCAAGGTGGATTTTAAAGGACCTTGTAATAAAGATTCCATGATTTTAAAGGACCTTCTAGTAAGTTTGGATTTCATCATGTAGTGAATAGTAACATGGTAGACTTCTAATGATAGGGGATAGGGGAGTCATTGATTTGAGGATGATGATTTGTTTTTTAAAGAAGAAAATATTGATGGCATCCAGGGATATGGCTTGTAATAATGAGAATGCAAACTGAAACAGAGGATGCCATAGTAATCTGAGAAATCACGAAAGTCAATATTAAGGTATTAAAGCCATTCGGTGAATAAAACATTTACTGTAGTCTCTAGTGGAAATAATTGTATGCAGTATTTTTTTTCCATTGTTTATTTCTTCCAGGTTTGAAGTCCTGAGTTTTCTCATGCTATGTTATAATTCTGCTATTGTGTATATGCCTGCCTCATCTTACCAATCTCTTTGTCGTATGGGCTCCAGGTGAGAAGTGTGATTTTAATTAACTTTCATATTCATTCATTTATTTGACAAATATTTATTGAGTATATTCCCTATGCCAGACACTGTTCTAACGTATCATGATACAGTAATAAAACAATTTCACAGAGCTTATATTTCTGTAGGAGTCCTCTTCATCCCTATGATTTCTGGGAAATTATTTCAGCATTAAAAGAATATTTCCTAGGTGAACAAGGAGTTAGGCCAAGTTAGCATTGTTGAGTGATATGCCTAATCACTCCCTGGATGCCACTTTTTAGAAATCATGGTGAGAAATAAGGAATGTAAACTTTTTCCTTTATATGTTTCACAAATAACAGTCTCTGTATTGAAGATTAATAATTGCAACAGTTATCTGTGTGTACGTGTTGTGGGGAATTAGGGGGTGATGTTCTGTGTCTCACAATAACCTTTATTATATTAGAATTTCTAATTTCATAGACATGACTGAAATTTAAATTTGCTCTATAGAAACAAATATTTTGTATTCTGTTTTTATATTCATTTCTTTCTTCCCCCATATTTTTTATTGGTGCATTGTAGTTGTATAAAATGATGTGATTTGTATTGTTACATATTGGTACATGCACAATATATAGCAATGTAATTTGAACAATAACATTGCCCTCGTTTTACCAATTGCCTCCCCTCCTCCTTCCCCTTAGTCCCCTTCCTTTATTCTACTGAGAATCTTTGATTTTCATGAGATCCCCTCCCCCGCACCTTTCTTTTCCTTTTTCCTCTCTAGCTTGCACATAAGAAAGAAAACATAAGACCCTTATTTTTGAGTTTGACTTATTTTGCTTAACATGTTCTCAAGTTCCATTCACGTTCCTGCAACTGTCATCATTTCATTTTTGTTTATGGCTGAATAAAATTCCATTGTGTGTATATATATATATATATATATATATATATATATATATCACATTTTCTTTATCCGTTCATCCATTAATGGATACCTGGGCTGGTTCCATAATTTGACTATTGTGAACTATGATGCCATAAACATGGATATGCATGTATCACTATAGTATAATGACTTTAATAATTCCTCAATATAAATACCAAGAAATGGTATAGCAGGGTCATATGCCTAGTCTTTTAAGGAGGCTTCATTACTAATTTCCGTAGTGTATTGAACTAATCTACAGTCCCATCCAACAGTATAAAAATATTCCTTTTTCTCCATATCCTCTCCAGCATTTATTCTGCTTCGTATTCATGATGACTGCCATATGACTTGCATGAGATGAAATCTCAGTGTTGATTTGCATTTCCCGAATTGCTAATGATGTTGAACATATTTTTCTTGTATTTGTTGGCCACTTGTGTTTCTTCTTTTGAGAAGTGTCTTTTTAATTAATTTGCCCATTTATTAATTGGAGGTGGGGTTTTTTTGGTGTTAAATTTTGAGTTCTTTATATATTCTAGATATTAGTCCTCTGTCAGAAGAGTAGTTAGCAAACATTTTCTCCTAATCTGTGGGTTTTCTCTTCACATTCCTATTTGTTTCCTTTGCTGTACAAAAGCTTTTAAATTTGATGCTGCCCCATTTATTAACTCTTGGCGTTGTTTCCTTAGCTTTAGTGTTCCTATTGAGAAAGTTATTGCCTGTGCCTAAAAGCTGGAGCATTGACCCTGTGTTTTCTTCTAGCAGTTGCATAGTTTCTGGTCTAATTCCAAGGTCTTTGTTCCATTTGGGGTTGATTTTTGTGCAGGGTGAGAGATAAGTGTCTACTTTCATTCTTCTATGTATGGATAACCAGTTGTCCCAGCACTGTTAAAAGGGCTGTCTTTTCTCTGAGTGGATGTAATTGGCACCTTTGTCAAGGATCAGATGACAGTATCTGTGTGGGTTTGTCTGTTTTGTACCATCGGTGTAGGTGTCTGTTTTTATGCCAGTATCATGCACTTTTTATTAGTATAGCTCTGTAATATAATTTAAAGTCGGGTATTGTGGTAGCTTCAGCATTATTTTTTTGGCTTAGAATTGCTTTGACTATTCTGGGTCTTTTTTTTTTTTCCAGATGAATTTTAGGACTGCTTTTCCTAGTCCTGTGAAGGATGTCATTGGTACTTTGAAGGGGATTGCACTGAATGTGTATATTGCTTTTGATAATATGGTCATCTTAACAAAATTTTCTGCCTATCCCTGATCATGGGATGTCTTTCCATCTTGTATCATCTTTAATTTCTTTCTTCGGTGATCTATAGTTTTCATTGTTGTACAGGTCTTTTGACTTCCTTGGTATTTTATTTTACCTTTTTGAGGCTGTTGTGAATGGGATTGTTTTCCTGATTTCTTTCTCAACAGATTCATTATTGGTATATAGGAAAACTATTGATTTTTGTAACCTGTGACTCTGCTGAATTTGTTGATTAGATCTAGCAGTTTTTTGGTGGAGCTTTTTTGATCTTATCATCTACAAATAGTGATAACTTGATTTCTTCCTTTTCTATTTTTATCCCTTTTGTTTCCTTCTCACCTAATTGCTCCAACTAGAATTTCTAACACTATATAAAATAGGAGTGGTAAGAGTGGAAATCCTTCTCTTGTTCCAAATTTTAAAGGAAATGCTTTCAGTTTGTCCCCATTTACTATGAGGTTGATTTTTTTTTTTTTTTTTTTATTATATAGCCTTTATGATGTCCCTTCTGTCCCTGGTTTCTTCAGTGTTTTTATCATGAATGGGTGCTGAATTTTGTTGAAGGCTTTCTCTGCATCTGTTGAAATTACTAAATGATTTTTGTCCTGAATTCTATCCATGAATTATTTTTTGGTTTGTGTATATTAAACCATCCTTGAATAAAAACATCTCTGGAATAAAACCAACTTGGTCATGGTGTGCAATCTTTTTTAATATATTGTTGGATATGATTTGTTAATATTTTATAAGTATTTTTGCATCTAAATTCATCAGGGATATTGGTCTGTACTTTTCTTTCCTTGTTGTGACATTACTTGGTTTTGGTATGAGTATGATATGGCCTCATAGAATGAATTTGGAAGTGTTTCTTCCCTTTCTATTTCATGGAATAATTTGAGGAACATTGGTGTATAGTTCATCTTTAAAGGTCTGGTAGAATAGAAAAAAGTTCAAGTAATATAAATTAATTTAGAGTTACAGAATTTCAATTCTAGTCTGTCCTATCCAACTAATTTCTACTTGAGGAAACTCAACTGCTCCTTCTGCCCCCCAAAAAAGTATAATACTATGTCTTCTGTTGTGCATAACAATCACCACAAACTTCGTAGCTTGAAACATCACACACTTATCTGGGCATGAGTTAGCTGGTCCTCTAGTTGGGATCGTATGGTTAAAATGTTGTCTGGAGTTGCAGTCTTACCTCAGATTCAACCCTTGTTGGCAGAATTCTGTTCTTGTGATTGTAGGGCTGAGGGTCCTAGTCCATAGCATTCAGGACCTGAATGATCTGCTGATGTGCAACAAATCTTCCTGAGATTGCCTATAGTTTTTTCTGTTGTGTATTGGGTAGCCCAGCTGACCATCAGTTTCTTATTGGTTGTCTGCCAGACTTGATCCTCAGTTCCATCCCATGGACCTCCCAACATAGGCAGACTACAACATGACAGCTTCAAAGCTTAGAGAAGGAGTGAGAAGGATCCCAGCAAGACCCTTTACCTTAAGTAACATAGTCACATAGTCATAAGCACATACCTGGGGAATCCCATTACCTCATAGATCATACCTTTACTTAAGGGAGGAGGGTAAATACCAGAAAGGAGGGAATCACAGGGATCGAGGCCTTCCAAAAGATTGTCTCCTACCACAAATGCTTAGCTGAAGTTCATATACTGTTGTGTTACTTGGAAGAGAATGTGATCCTGTTTATAACATTAATGTTGGTAAGTGGGTCAATCTAAATTAGTTATAACTGAAATTTTACAGATTATCTTAAAATAAGTACATCATTTCATCTATAATAACATCAGTGGGCAACAGAGTGTTTCTAAATTAGATTCTGTTTTCAAGAGCATACATTGTTTAAGCACTTACTGCCTATCTTAAGATAACATTATAAAAGACTATTTCAGGTTCATTAAAAGAAATGCATTTGTTGTCATATTTGGCAGCATTTTTATGGCCTTTAGTAGAGTTTTGTTTATTTTTGTGGTATTAGGGCTTGAATCCAGAAACACTCTACCTAAGCACTACATCCTGAACCCTTTGTGTTGCCTTTTTTTTTTTTTTTTTTTTTTAATTTTGATACAAGGTCTCCCTGAGTTTCTTTGTCTGGCATTGGACTTGCAACCCTCCTGCTTCAGCCTCCTGAGTTGTTGAAATTACGGGCTTGTGTCACCACATATGGCTAGAGTTTCTTAATAACAAAAGTGCTGGCAGAGTTTAATGGTCCTGAAACTTGTTTTTTGTCCCCTTAAGAATTTTGAAAAATTTTATCTTTTGTACATTTTTAAGTTGATGTGTAAACTGTTTTGTCCTATCTTAAACATTTGCAAATGATATATGATTTCTACAATATAAATATTGATATAATTAAAAAGTTAGGTTATTTCAAATATGTGTAGCTTAAATGCCATGGAGATATAATATTCACCATCATCCATTGATAAATAAACAAGCAAGATTGTTCTCTAATAGTCTAACATTACACAATTTCCTGGAAATTGAATTTCTACTCCACTTTCTTTAAACAAAGTTTCTCTTAATATAATGCTGTTTTCAACTTTTTTTTTAATATTTATTTTTCAGTTTTCGGTGGACACAACATCTTTATTTTATTTTATGTGGTGCTGAGGATCGAACCCAGCGCCCCGCACATGTCAGGCGAGCGCGTTACCGCTTGAGCCACATCTCCAGCCCTGTTTTCAACTTAAAGTCTTTTATTCATCACTTAATTGCTATAGATATGTATGTGTGTACATATTTGTGCATATGTGTGTATATACATATAGCAATTATCTTAATATTTTAACTGGTTTACATAATCTGAGCTGGGTATGGTGGTGCACACCTATGATCCCAGTTACTTAGGAGACTGAAGCAGGAGACTTATAAGTTTGAGGCCAGCATGGGCAAGTTAATCAGACTCTTCTCTTACTAGAGAGAGAGAGAATTATGAACCTATTGCACTTAAGGATTTAATAATCTTTTTACACAAAAACCATAAATTTTATGGAACATTTTATCTTCTGTTTATTATTAAGGAAACATCTCTATCATATAGAAAGGTAGAGAGTTGTTTATGGCACAGCTCTCTCTTCTTTAACCCTGCCCAAAAAGGTGGCAGGTTTTTTTTGTTTGTTTGTTTGGCATCATGGCTTCCTTCAGATCTCTTGTAAAGCTCAAGTTCCTCAAAAAGAAGACCAAGAAGTTTATCTGGTATGGGTCAGACTGATACATCAAAATTAAGTATAACTGACAGAAACCCAGAGGTGTTACAGCAGGGTGTAGAGAAGATTCAAGGGACAGGTCTTGGTTCTGTGAGCGACAAAGAAACAAAGGATATGCTGTCCAGTAGCTTCTGAAAGCCCCTGCTCCACAACATCAAGGTGCTTCAAGTACTGCATATGTGTAACAGATCTTGTTGTCTGAGATTTTTTTCCAGTGTTTGCTTCTGGAAATAGCAGCCCAGCTGGTTATCAGAGCCACTGATCCTGGTGCCAGGTTGCACAGTGAAGGAAATGAATAGATAGTTCATGTGCATATTTTAAATCAAACAAAAAAAATCTTCAAATAAAATTAAAATGACCTCGCAGCCAACAGTATTTTTGAAATGTCTGTTTTGAGATTTCTGTGCTTCAGAGTAATTTGCCTTGTTTGGATGAATAAAAGCCAGTCATTTGTGTGTGTGTGAGTGAGTGGAGCAAAATGAATATTTGTGAAAGAGGTTTTTAGTTATTTGATAAAAGTTAGCTTTAATGGATATAGTCCGCTAGAATGTATGCTTTGTGAAGATACAGGTTTTATTTTTTAATTTTTTTTTTTTTTTTTTTTTTTAGTTTTAGGTGGACACAGTACCTTTATTTTATTTTTATGTGGTGCCGAGAATTGAACCCAGTGCCTCACGCATGCTAGGCAAGCACGCTACCACTTGAGCCACATCCCCAGCCCTATTTTTTAATCTTTTACCTGTTCATGACCGTATCCTAGGCCAAGAACAGTGACTGGCATATAGCAGGCATCAATTAATATTTAAGGAATGAATAATTGAACAAATGAATTTATAAAAGCACAATTACTATATTTAGTGAATCAGGAAATCACACATACCTTATTTTTCTAGGGTTTGTGTGAGTGGGTTTCCACGACAACATGAAAAACACTGGAAAGAACTCTGTGGTCGAATAGTATTGGATCCTGAATTTATGGTGCAACTTCTCACAGGGGTTTATTATGCCATGTAAGTAGGTGGTAGATGAAATTTATGAATTCTTCCTTATTAGATGTAACAAAGGGTCTTTTGTCCCAGGATGAGCACACTATCTTGTTTTTCTAATGTAGTTTCCTTTATTTTTAAAGTAGCACATATATAATATAATTAGTTGTTAAAATTAGAGTCATCCTAAAAATTTTCAGGTTTTCTGTATGGAAAATTATTTCTAAAAAGTTCATAACTCAAGTTTTCACGAATGCATTAAGTATATGATTGAATATTAGCCACATGTGATAAAAATCAATTTATTTGAAGAAGCATCTATAAACTACTTTAAACATAGTATTTGAAATTTCCTTTGTTATTATAACCAAAATTAAAAGATTGTAGAAATGAAATAATATAACAATCGATGTGAAGCCAGGCGTGATGACACATGCCTATAGTCCCAGCAGCTCTGGAAGATATGTAAATTTGAAGCCAGCCTGGGCAATTTGGTGAGACCCTATCCCAGGTAAATTAATTAAAAAGATTGGCTGTATAGCTCCTTGGTATCGTGCCCCTGGGTTTGATCCCCATTACCAGGAAGGAAAATTTTGATGTGAAAATCTTATTTACAACCCAAATAGTAGGACTTAAAATTTTTTTAAAAATTATGTGAGGATTAGAGATATTTGCTAAAGATAGTATATGATATGCTTATCTACAGGTATAATGGACAGTGGGACCTTGGCCAGGAAGTTCTCGATGACATCATTTATAGAGCTCAACTAGAACTTTTTTCTCAACCACTATTGGTAAGTTATATTTACTGCCCCCCCCCCCCCCCCTTAGCCCTAGAAATTAAACCCAGGGGCACTCTACTACTGAGCTACATCCCCAGCATCCTACTACATTTTTTTTTCCCCCTTTTAAGACATCCTTTCACTAAGTTGTCCAGGTTGGCATTGAACTTGTTATCCTCCTGCCTCACTTTCCCAAGTGGCTGGAATTACAGGTATCTGACTGACTTACTCTTTATATAACATGTCTGTATGTAAAGAAGGTACTACTAAGTTTAAAAAATTAGAAAGCTAGAATAAAAGTAAAATTCAGTAAATTAAAGAATTAAATGTCTTGAAATACCTTTAAGAGAGAAGAAATGTTAAATATAAGTTATTGAAATCTCTAGAATAAAGGGTGTGATAGAAGTGAGATGATGAATTGCTAAAATGAGTTTGATGCCCCCTCACAAATACCTAAATTCTAAACAATTAGTGTTTTAAATGCAAAGAGAATATGCAGTGAACAAAGAAAAAAAATATTCTCATTAGGCATGACAAGAAAAAGCCAGTTATTTTATCCTGCATATGAAAGTTTTATGCTTTACAAAATAAATGTCAAAAATGTAAATGATAAATATAAAGACAAATGTAAATATCCACTGAGGAAGACATTCTTTGTGCTGTGGTGGTAGTATGACACAACTTTGATCATCTCATTGTGGAAGCAGTCTGGTAAATGTGTGTATGGTGTTCTTTCATTCTGTGTTCCATGTGTGGTAGTGTATCCCAGGAAACTAAATACCAAAAACGTGTATTATAAGCACAGCATTACAATGTTATGTTAAATGGCAAAGCAATAAAACTAGTCTAAATGTTCCACAGCAAGCCAGGCTCACTGGCATGCCCCTGTAATCCTAGTGGCTCTGGAGGCTGAGGCAGGAGGATTGCAAAGTCCAAGGCCAGCCTCAGTAACTTAGTGAGTCCCAAGCAATTTAATGAGACCCTGTCTCAAAATTTTTTAAAAAAGTAAAATAAAATGGGATGGGGATGTGGCTCAGTGGTAAATCCCAAAAGAAAAAAAAAAAGTTGCAATCAGTACCAAAAGAAAAAAAAGTTCCAAGCAACAAATGATTTATTATGATATTTACTTGATAAAATTATAGCTTGACAACTTATATGAAACAAAAATCCTGGGGCTAGGGATGTAGCTCAGTAGTAGAAACTTGGCCTGGCATGCATGAGACCCTGGGTTCCATTTGAAAGGAAGGGAATGAAGAGAGAAAGAGAAAAGAAAAATGCTAGTTTGTGTTAAGTGGAAAATTAGTATACAGCTTTTTAAAAATCTAGACATAGGAATCAAAATAATAATAGTTGACTAGATGATCTGACTATGGATCATTTTAATTTCTTTCCAGTTTGCAGTACTTTTTGGGAGGTGGAGGGTGGGGGAGTACCTGGGATTGAACCTAGGAGCACTTGACCACTGAGCCACATCCCCAGCCCTATTTTGTATTTTGTTTAGAGATAGGGTCTCATTGACTTGCCTAGCGCCTCACTTTTGCTGAGGCTGGCTTTGAACTTGCAGTTCTCCTCTCTCAGCCTCCTGAGCTGCTGGAATTATAGGCGTGTGCCACTGCGCCCAGCTGCAGTACTTTTTTGAAAAAAGTTTCTCTTTTTTGGGGGGATGGGGGTAGGCACTCTACCACTGAGCTACACCTCCAGCTCTTCTTTATTTTTATTTTAAGACAGGGTCTCACTAAGTTGATGAAGCTAACCTTGAACTCGTCACCCTCCTTCCTCATTCTCCTGAATCACTAGAATTAGAGACATGTCACCATGCCTGGCTATGTCTTTGTTTTAAATATTTTAAGCTGAATATAAATTTATTAAGGTACCATTTGCAATAGTTCTTTGATATTAAATTCCTATTTTTCTCATTTTAGTATCCCCTATTTTACACTAAGGGTTACATTAAAACAGGTAATAGGACAAAAAATTTTCATCATCATCATCATAACTTGAATTTTTAAGGCTCTTTAAATTCATGGTTTATCCTTGTAACCACCTTGCAAATTTAAAAAAATTTAATAAAGTGACATTTCCAAAGCAGTACAGGTTAATCAATTATTCTTTGTTGGCATCTCTGAAGGACCCAATAAATGATAACCCTTTCCTTATTCAAGTTGCAAGTTACATGAACAAATAGTTGGCATATGGAGAAACAAGCATCATCTATATTACTGATAAAGACTAAATTCAGATACTTAACTCCTTACTCATCTATCTAGTAGTCCACTGGAGAGAAGGCCTGAGTGGGCAGGTCAGGCACATCTATCCAGGTTGATACATTCCATATGTGTTTGGCCAAATAGAGAGGGAGGGAGAAAGATAATCCTTTAGGTCAAGATCTTTGCTAGGTTAGTAACCCATTTAAGAAACATTAACTAGTCAACTCTCAATTACTCACCAACCAGGTTTCTCACTTCTCCAAGCTAGCAGAAAGTAGTGTGGCACAATGCCAGAAGTATTTAAGGAAGACTTCTCTTTATGGAAATAGAGAAGTGGAGAAAAGCCTAATTAACAAATGAAGAAGAAACAAAACCACTTAATTTTTGCCTGTTATTTATCATGTGAAGACTAGAAGCTTATTCTAATTTTTCTTACATCAGGGTGCAAAATGGTAAATATTTTTTCTCCTTGAAAGTCAACAACTCCAAGAATCAGTGGGGTATGACTCACTTTTTCTATTTTTTCTTATTTTTGTGGTACTGGGATCAAATCTAGGACCTAGTACATGCTAGGCAAGTTCTCTATCCCTGAGCTACACCCCCAACCCAGTGACTCACATTTTTAAAAATAAATTCTCCTTTGAAAAACCTGTTTTAAGTAATACAGAATGTTGGAGATACAAATATTTCTGACACATTTGTACTTTTGTTATATTAGGATAGGTTTTAAATACATATTCCAAAAGTTACAGAAGCATGAAGTACAGAATAAGCAAAAGCTGCCTGTTGGTTGTAAATTTGTATACCTTATGTTATCATTTTAGGTTGCCAATGCCATGAAAAACTCATTACCATTTGATGCTCCTGATTCTTCACAAGAGGGCCAGAAAGTGCTTAAAGTGGAAGTCACCCCAACAGTGCCGAGGATTTCTCGGACTGCAATTACAACAGCTTCAATCCGTCGGCATAGATGGAGAAGAGAAGGTAAGTACAAAATCCCCATAGTATGCTCATGGAGTCAAGTAAATTTTTCACTGTTTGTATAGACTATATTAACTCATGGTATTATAGCACTTTATATAATTAAAATAAAAGTTTTTTAGTTTTTAAGATAGCTCTTAGAAATGTGATTAAATGCTTACTGTTATATTATAAATATATGTGTACATAAGGTAGAAAGATGTTATACTGCTGTATAAATATTAAAACAAAAATAAGATCAGGTGAATTTTTGTCTGTTTTTGAACTAGTAGTAACAACAGGAAAACAGTTTAAGCCTGCTAACTTACTGAGGAAAAAAATAAAAGGTGCATGTATGAGCACTGTGGGAGATAACTATGACAAACCAAACTAACAGTGTAATACAAGCTATCCATAAAATAATTGACTGTGGTTTTGGATTTATATCTTTGCATTTCCTTTTTTATATGTGCTGAACCCAGCAGTATTTCATAAGACATACAGTTCTTGAATAGTCAAGCTGTCTTGCCTAAGAGATATTAATTGCCATTTAATCCCTATTTTTCTGTCCTGTTCATTTGCAAACCTCACATTGTTCATCTGCTGCCTTATGTGCGTGCAAGCTATGCACACACATGTAATTATATAAATAGTGTTTGTGTTAATATCATATCCATATAAACATTCTCTTATCTGCCTGGGTCAGAATGCTCAGAAAAGAATAGAGCAGCACAAAAGCACTAAAATTTTATATGTTGAATCCCAGATGGCTTTGACTTCTCAAACGAGGCTGACTCGAGTATTCCTGGCTCCCCGATCCAACACGGCTCCACTGACCTAGGGATCAAACGTGTGCAAGAGGGGGAGGTGCTGGTGCGCAGGACCCCTGAGCATGGCTCGCCGGAGCCCAACTCGGCAGCAGCCACAACAGAGGGTAGGACAGAGATGAGGAGGCAGAAGTCAGTGAGGCAGTTGCTGGAGAAGGATCCTGGCTCTCTATCCCCAAGCAGAACATCTTTCCATTCTAGTGTGTGTTTCCACTACCCCAGGGTGTATTAGCTTCTCCTTGCAAAGCACCTCTCTTCCCTATATGCCTAGCACCAGGTTAGGTACAATCTTTAGTTACTGTTTGTGCTGGCCTAGAGTGTGCATCCCTGTGTAATCAAAGAACAGCTTGGCATGGCTACTAACAAGGCAGGGGCCTGTATCCAAAAGATTTGCAAATGCTTGGAATTTTTTCATTACTGAGCATGTTTATTCTAACATTAGGAAAGAAAAAATGCACCCAATGGACATGAGCCTTAATAGTTAATATAAATGTATTTATATAATAACTTATTCTTTAAAGATCTGTGAAGAGTTTCAAAACATGAGTATACTTGGGAAATTGAAATGGGGCTGATAATTTATCTGTAATTCTAGGATGTTAAATTAACATCTAATAAGAATTTCTTACCTTTTTGACAGAGTATGCTATATTGATTGAATTTTTATAGTCCTTGTGTTAAGTTGCCTAGGTCTAGAGAATTACTGACACTTTCCTCCATATACGTGCTGTCCTGGTGCACACTACATTTTATAATTCATTGTAAATCATGGTTCTATTATGTAGCTCCCAAATGGAATTGAAATGTATTATTTAGAGATCAGATATCCTAGTAGTTTCTTGTTTCTACAATGTAGGTATCTTGAGAATTTTTTACCTACCATCTTCCATCACTCTCTGTAAAAGAACATTTCTGTCCTCCAGGAAAGTATTTACTTGCTGCCTTGCATGGAATGCCATGAGTTAGCTTTGTGAAAGAGGGAACTGTAGGTAAATAGCTTTTTCATTACCCAATGTGTTGCCACTGTGAAACCTTTATACTGATTTGCATAATAAACCATGTAGTTTTAAAAGAGGTACATATTTTTGCTTAAAGCAAAACATACATAAAGCAATTAACTTCCACCTTTAGGAAGTCTTTCTCTTTTTGGTGCATTAGAAATTTGAGCATGCTCAGTAAGAATTTAAACCTATACTCTGTGCCCTTGCCCATTTGCCCAGGACAGTCAACCTTCATTTTACAGTATTGCATGTGCATGATCTAGGAACCCAGAGAAGTTGGTACTGTTTCAGATTCTTCTTTATATGGCTATGGAAGATGCAGCCTTCCCTTTTTATACTTTCCCTAGCAATCAATTTTAGTGAGAGTATGGAACCCAGAGTTGGCCTAAATTGAACAATATCTTATTTCTTTATATTCTTGATGATTAAATGAGCTACTTAAGAAGTATCTTCTACCATTGTTAGGACTATTGAAAGTATGTGTTAAATGTAGCATGGGTAATTAGTATTGATAAAATTATAAGAAGTGTTAGATTAGTCTGAAATATTGCTTCAAATTCATCAGAAGTCATACATTTTGAAAAAGGAATCAAAACAGTTAATTTCTCTTTAATATTCTATTGAATCCTATTAAATATTTAAATGCCTTATTTTCATATTTTTAATTACTGGTAAAATGTTAGCTTTAGTGAGGGATTGGTGATATAAAACCACAAGGAAAGGGGAATAAATTTGTTTCTTTTTACTGGGGATTGAACCCAGGGGCACTTTACACTGAGCTACATCCCCAGCCTTTTTTATTTATTTTGAGACAGGGTGTCATAATGTTGCTTAGATTCTTGCTAAATTGCTGAGGCTAGATCCTCCTGCCTCGGCCTCCTGGGTTGATGGGATTACAGCTGTGAGCCACCACATCCAGCAGGGAATAAGTTTTGAGTGTGTTTGAAATTTCTAAACAATTATCTTACCCTTTAGTCTAGCTTAATTATAGTTTTAAATCAATATTAATAGAATAGGAAAGGCAATTTTTTTTTTTTTTTTACAGATTGTTCTTTGGATCATGAGTAGTATTATAATTACCTAGAGAGAAAACTAAAAGAAAAATGTTTTGAGAATTGCCTGTTTTCTTTCTTAAGGTTTTTTAAACAGAAGGAAGGAAATTACTAAAACCTATGAGAAGTTTTGGTAATTCTGTAGTATGCCAGAGCTTTTGAATTAATGTAGACAATTGATCTTTTAAAAATGTTTTAAAGTATGATGGTTTTAAATAGTTTTATAGTTAAAACTGTGATATTATATGTTGAAATTCAGGGAGAATATTAACCTATCACCTACCTATTAAACTGAAGATGATTCCTATAATTAAAGTATAGTCATTGTTCCATTATAATGAACCATTTCCTAGTACATAAAATACCAGTAGGTTCTCTTGCATGGTGGCCTTCATGTTACCATCATCTCTTTTATGGCCATATTGCTTTGGCATAAGATCTGCATGTAGCAAGATTCAAAGCTAGCACTAAATCTCTCAGTCTCCTTCCTAATTAATAGATAAATCCAATGATATATTTCTGTTCATTCCTTGTTTTATATTACCAATACTACTTTTGAATTAGTAACTATTTCTTCTTGGGCATTTTAGAGTTCTTTATACTAATTTTAAGTAAATTACTAAAATGATATGTAAATTAAAGTTTCAATTTTCATGGGACATTATATACAGTTCTCTTGAAGAGATTGAGAGACATGGTGTCAGCTGCTACTTTTCTTAGTAAATGCATTTTCACATAGCTTTGCATGATTAAACATTAAATTGCTGGATATATATATGTATATATATATATAACAAGGTGCCTTTTGCTTTAAGGATAGCTTATTTCATTCTTTAGAAGGAAAGAAATAACAAATCCATGAGAAAATATAACCAAGAATGTATTTTTATTTTTCCAGGTACTATGTTAAGTAAAAGATTGTGTTTTTAATATTTTATATATCTTTCACTTAGGTAACTTGTATCTCAAAGTAATATTTGTGTAGATTATTTCCTAACATTTTACTCTAACTATAATGCTGGTATCTATTTTGTAGATTTGATTAAACTTATTTGCAGTCTGGGAAAAATATCAGTTTTTGAAAGAAGAAAAAGTATGGTCATATAGTCTCTTAGAAAGTAAATACAATCAATAGAGAATTGGGCTTTCTGGAATAGCATGATCAATGTATTATATATACTTCTCTTCCCACAAAAACTCAAGATACAGATTTTTATGTTAACTACAGTTTATGTGTGAAATGTAATGGGGCATTATAATATTTTGTGATTATAAAAGTAAATAAGTGAAATAAAGATGTTGTGTCCAACTATAAATAAAAGATTAAAATACTTTAAAAAAAGTAGTACATCTCAATGCTAGAATCTAAAATATTAAAATATATAATGTAGGAAATGAAAATCATTCTTAAGTATCCCTGCTAGTTTTTTACCACTGTTCCCTGATAATGTTTTCTTCATATTAATTGTTCAGGAAAGTATGGAAACCAGTGAGTAGTCCTGTCCATAAGACAAAATATGGTTGTGAAATTATTGGAAGCAATGTAGTTTCTTAGATTTGAGTTAGAAAATCTATTCAATATTAAAAGCCTTTAAGCCATAGAGAAGCAGTTAACTTGATAAATATAAAATCTTATTATAGTTTTGGCCTATAGGCATAAATCAGGTTTTGGTATAATTCTAGGTAACTGAAATCGGAAGAGTCCCTTTTGTACATTTTATGGTGGGTTAAAGAAGATATGAGGAAAAGGTTTCAATTGTTTTACAATAGGTAAATATGTTCATGTCAAATGAAAAACAGTATATTATGAAGAGTTATAAATATAAATGTATTTATATATTTAATGTATTGTGCCTGGTTTTATATGCCTAAATATTAATAGTATATTAAGTAAGTTTGTGAATAGTTTTATAAAAACTGAAGTAATTAAAACTAAATGAACACAATAAATAGTATATTAGAATTCTGTATAGATTTATTCTCCTAAATTACTTAGAAGTGTTGATAGTAAGATCATTATGAACTCATAGCAAGTGTTAATCAAGAAAAAGGTCAGTGTTGTTATTCACAACTGCTACTTAACTTAATTTAGCTATTACTAAGTCTTTCTGATTTATTTTTTAGGTGCTGAGGGTGTAAATGGAGGAGAGGAGTCTGTAAACCTGAATGATGCAGATGAAGGATTTTCATCAGGGGCTTCCCTCAGCAGCCAGCCAATTGGGACCAAACCATCCTCTTCTCAGAGGGGAAGCTTACGGAAAGTAGCAACTGGGCGTTCAGCCAAAGATAAAGAAACAGCTTCTGCCATCAAATCCAGTGAGATCCCTCGAGATTCAGTAGTTCGCAAGCAGTATATTCAACAACCAACTGATCTTAGTGTAGATTCCATTGAACTGACACCAATGAAGAAACACCTGAGCCTGCCTGCTGGCCAGGTGGTGCCAAAAACCAATAGTTTAAGTCTAATCAGGACAGCCAGTGCTTCCTCAAGTAAATCATTTGACTATGTAAATGGCAGTCAAGCAAGTACCAGCATTGGGGTTGGCACTGAGGGAGTTACTAATCTAGCAGCTAATAATGCTAATCGATATTCAACTATCAGTCTACAGGAAGACCGGCTAGGTCAAGCTGGTGAAGGTAAAGAGCTCCTCAGCCCAGGAGCCCCCTTAACCAAGCAGTCTCGATCCCCAAGTTTCAATATGCAGCTAATATCCCAGGTGTAGTTTTGACATCCTCTCTTCGCTTACCTTTTAAACGGAACATTTCATTGTATAAGAAGACACTCATCCCACATTGTGAAAATATTGGTCATTGTAATCAGATTTGATTTAGTTTAGGTATCTTCATACTGTATTTTGTATGAAAACAGCAATAAGGTTTTCTTTTCCCTCCTTCCTATATCTTCTCTTCACCTGTACCTTGTAAATGTGTTTGTGAAGCAGTATAACACGTTTGCCTTTTCCATGCCTTCCTTTTTCCTTGGGTGATGTGCAATCCATCATAGGCTGATTGGTCCCATTTCAACACTGTGAGACTGAGGATACACTAGAGGAAGTGGTGTATATGATCCTTATGATTCTTTGGCTTTTGTTCAAAAACAAGACAAAACGGGTTTGTTCACATAATCTATAGAACTATGAAGATTACTGGATCATATTTTTTTCTCTCTTAACCAGGAGTGCCTCAGAGGTTCTGCTATGACTTGGGACTTCTCTGAGTCTGTGCAATCATTTTCTTGAGAAGCATGGGGAAAGGTGGTAGACTGCTGCACTTTTTCATTAAAATGAGGGTAGCTCTTTTTTTCCCCCATTTTCTTTATCCCAAGGACTTAGTTGTTCAGTTACTGAGGCATTTAAATCAATTTGTAGCCACCTCCTTTGGGAGGGTGGGGCTCTAAGTTGATTGTGTAATTGATAATGCACTTTCTCAATGGCTCTCTAGTCATTATTAACATGTCTTCCCTCTTCCCACAAGGACTTAAGATCATTTCTGTCCTTAAATTTTGAACAGCTAACAAATCAGAGAATTCAAGGAGCATGTTCTATTTTCCAGGAATGATTGACACTTTGGTGCTGGGGTTTTGTTGGGGGAGGGGTGGTTTTTGTTTAGCTTGTTGGAATTGTGTCTGAGGGGGGTTTTGATTGGTGTTTTCTTTTTCTTTGTGAGCTGATGATGACTGAAGTAGAACTGTACGTCTTCAGGTAAAGAGAGGGATTTCTCAATCCACTTTCTGTGATGTTAGACTCTTGGAGAAACCCTTTCAGCTGCTTTCTAGATGTACCTAAATTCAGTCAGACATTTTGGATTAATAAACCTAAAGTCCTGATAGATCATATACTCCAAGGAAATACATCAGGGACAGATAGTTGGCTGAAAACACTGATGCTTCAATGTGACACATTTTTATAGAACATTTCTACCAGGGGGTACTGACTTGATTTCTCCTATAAGGACTACACTGCCTTTGTGTTTAGTATAATGCAGTTTGTGTATCTTCTAATCTGCAAAGTTTCTCATTTTTATAAAACTTTGAAATCATGCCAGTAAGCTAGATGTTGAATGTATGTAAGTAGCATTTGGTAACTGCTATAAGGCTACAGAAGTACATTATTGATTTTAAAACATTTTTTAAAATTCTGATTTGATTGATAAGATTTATTATAACCTCTTCTGGGTCTCGAGCTCTAATGTTTGAAAAAGAAGGGAATATACTTGGTTTTTGAAAATCAGTATTGTGACTTGAACTGCTATAAATTATCCTTCCACAAAATACAGTTATTAGTGCTTTGTGCATTTACTTTATTATTGTGAAAGAAAAATGAGTTTATAGAAAGCAAGTATTCTCCTTATTAATGGTTTTAAATTTTATCTCTACCAATTGAAATTACAAATAATTTTGTGATAATAACTAAGAAAATGCCTTTTTTTTCACACCTAAAATCCCCGTTGTTTTCAGTTGTAAGAGCATTAAAAAAAACAGGGTGTTAGCATGTTCATAAGGATTTTAATTTTCTATGAAAATGAAAAACTAGAACCTGAACTAGTATCCAGAATATTGCCAAAGTCCAGGCAAAAGTTGATGGTTTATGTATATGTGTATGGTATGTAAATATATCACAGATATATTTTAAATATTTAAGAGATGCCAGGTAAGTGAAAAGAAAATTTTGAACAGCCAAAATAAATGAGGCATACAACTTTATAGCATACTATAAAAGTTTCAGGTATGTAAGGAAAGGAATATTGTACTCACCAGGGAATGAGATCTTGGCTATGGCCAGAGTTTCCTCATTTTATGGCAAAAATACCTGGTTTATATAGGCTGTTTTTAATTCAACAAGTTATGCACGTATTGGCATCTAAATCAAGCATTTGAATTACAAGCACAAAAGAAATACCAAATAAATGAAATTACAGTAAAAGCTATAATAAAAATTCTCTTTAAGAATTCCATTAAGATCATATTACTAGAAAGCAAACTAAATGTGTAGCGAAAAGTTAAATTTAACTTAGGAGAGACTTTTAAATATGAAAATATTTTAAGAAATCATTTGTTATATCTGCAAAATTAATTTGAAATTTTTTCATCTTGCTACTATGTGCAGTAGCCTGTAATCACAGAACTAGGGAGATTAAGGCAAGAGGATGGGAAGTTGAAAGCCAGAATTAGAAGCTTAAATTAACAAGACCCTGTCTCAGAAAATTAAAAGGACTTAGTGGTAGAGTGCCCCTGGGTTCAATCCCCATTATCGCAAGAAAAAAAAATTCATCTTAGAGGATTTTATTTATCTGTACGTGTATACGTGTGTGTGTGTGTGTGTGTGTTGCTGAACCCAGGGCCTTGTGCGTGTAAGGCAAGCACTCTATCAACTGAGCTATATCCCTAGCCCCAACATATAGATTTTGAATGTACACATACCCATTAATGTTTCAGGACCCTGTAACAATTGTTTTCTTGTAGGTGATATTTGGCCCCAATGAAGAAACATTTCATTTAGTTTAAACTTTCCATTCAGGGTCTTAAGAGATTTCCTGTATAAGATATAGTTACAATGAAAAAAGTTTAACTATCAAAATTTCAGGCTTTTAAATTCCTTTTGCATTATTTATTAGTATTTAATATACTTTTATTTCAGGTATACAAATACACGCCAGCAATATTCATTCTTTGTCCTTTAACAGTCTTTTATTTTATATTTTTTATACCTCCTTAAAAAAGTTTACCCATCTATGAAAAAGACACTTAGAAAATACTTGTTTTCTATAATAAAACTATTTGGTGCCATCTGTGCCAGGTTGAATTAAGGAATATAAAGAAATACCAGAAGAGTTTGGGAATTCTTTCGTATGACATTAATTTTAAGATCATATTACTAGAAAGCAAACTAAATGTATACAAAAAGTTAAATTTAACTTAGGAGAGACTTTTAAATATGAAAATATTTTAAGAAGCTAAGGAGGAAATAGTTGTAATTTAATATCCTGATCCCCTATCACCACCCTTACTTACCAAATCCACTCTTCTGTGCCTATTTATTATAGAATCAGAATTTGTGTGCTAGAAGAGACCCTAGAGATAATTAGTCTCCCCACACACATTCATCCTCAGGAAACGAGACTCAAAGAGGTTGTGACACTACAAGGTCGTATAACTAAGAAGCAGAGCCAGAATCAACCCTCATCTCCCATGAAATGCATATTAACACCCCACTGCCACTCTTTATCCATACTATGGTAAATATGGTACGTAAATACTTTCCATCTCTGCAGCTTCTTTACATTTCTGGTCTAGTAGCTGGTAAATACAACACATTAAGAAAAGTATTAAATCCAGAAAAAAATGTAGAGTGATAAATGTAGATGGGGAAGTATTAAAAAAATAGGTATCTTTTACAAATATAAGGATAGGTACATTCTTTAATTTACGCCTTACTCATTTTCTGCCACATAATGATGATATGCTGCCATGTTGTTTATATTTGTGGGGATTTATTTAAATGCAAAGTAAGCTCAGTGAAATGGTTTTGTTCAGTGTTGTAGCTATTTTAAAATAATTTTTGAATCAGCCAGCTTTCAGCAAATAAGGTGGCCAGTTCATTGTATTTCATAATGGAGTATTGTAAAAGCTTAAATAAATCTGATTCCATTGATTTCTAATGTAAAGAGAGATTGGACCTTAATGTGCTTATAGAAGATGAAAGCAATATTTCCTTATATGACTGAAAAAAATGTTATGGTGTGAAGCTTATGATTCCATGATGGAATAGTGAACATCTCATTAAGTGTATATATCACATAAAATGTCTTAAATGCAGTAGTCAGATACATAAGCTCAATATTTCCAACCTGTAGTCTCGAATTCCACTTAGTAGCTTTAAATTAATTATTTTCTAGACACTGGAATACTGAGAATAATTTCAGATTGTTTTGTTTGCACTATTTTTGTGAATATTTTAATGAAGTGGGGTGTTTTTTCCTACCTCGCTTTGTGAAGTTTGTATGGGTCCACTTTTGTGTACTTTAGTTATTTACAGTCATTTGTGTCATTTAGTTTTCTGCATGTTCATTTGTAAATAAAAATATTAGTATCTGTCTTTATGGGTAGCATATTGTAAAAACACTGGCAAGGAGGATCTCTCCATTTCTGATCATGGATTATATTACAAAGTAAGTTTGGTTTTCTGGAAAAAAAATCAGTATTTCAGTTACTTGTCTGTTTTTCAGTTTAAAAAGTTCAATAAGTCATGCCAGTGATCAGAAAATCTATAAGAATTTTAGGGTACTTTTCTTAAACAGTCTGAACATGAGACTTTTTAGCTTTCAAGTTGAATGATTACTGTCATTGTTTCACCACCAAGTTGGTTGAGACACTTATTTGTACTACTTTAATTTTTTAAAAGTGCTTTTTAGAAATAAGTTGTTTGAAAACCAACTAAATACTGTTAGTTTAGACTCTTTAAAATTAGAATATTTGTCAGATTATAAGGAGATAGAATGCAGTATAAAACTCATAGTGCTAATAAAATCATAATGAATCTCCAGATTGGTACAATTTTCCATGCTAATATGGTCAGAACTGACAACATAATACAAATTTTAGTATTACTTGCATTGTGTGTATCTAATGGGTATATCAAACTGGCACTGAACATTTATAGGAAAATACTGTTCATTACAGGAGACACTTTCTAACCTCCCTGCCCATATAAGCACATTTTTTCCTAACCCTGACCATACAACAAAATTTTGGTCATTTTTTCAGTATTTTTGTAATCTTAGGCATCAGTCCCATGAGAAACATACACAAGGGCAAACAATTCAGAATAGAAATTAGCAGAAAGCTAGGAATGATATGAAATAACTGGCAGCATAGTACAGAAATATGTAGGTTGTTTTGCTTCTATATTTTGAGAAAATGTGTTCATGATGTTTACAAATTAAGGCATACTTATATGTCGGCTATTATGCTATTATATTTAATATAGATTTTACCAAAAAGTAGAATTAGGTACAGGTTAAGTATAAATGAGTCCTTTTTAAAAACTCTGTATTTGCAGGTAGGCTTAATAAAGAGATCCTTTTATTTTCAGAGAAATTAATTTAATTGGACAATCCATCCATCCCCAGCTAGTGAACTGATATCAATCTGGTTTGTTGTATTTGAGTGTGAAGAGCTCAGTGTTAATTATGTCAGAGAAAATTTTTTACATCTTCATTATGGATTTACCAAAGAAAATGTTATTGACCAAATGTAATTTTTAAAGCACCTCTTAAGGAATAAAGCCCATCTGACCTATACACAGGATTGCATACCCTGGGGAAAATATTAAAAGATTATTTGACCTGGAAAACAAGTATACAATAGTTATAAGTTTCCAATTGAGGTTTTCTTATACCAGTAAGATTTCAATATTCTGGCAAAGTACTATTTAAAGGCTAACTACAAATATTATTCCTTATGGCACATTTTCACATTTTCTTAAATAAAACTAAGGATTTGGCTTATCAGTATTGAACAAAAGGGGACATTACTAAAATTGGTATATTGTGTGGTATTATAGTTTTTAAAATGTGGAGGAAATTGTGGAAATGCACCTCTTTGTTCAGTGGTAGTTATTTCTAATAAGTAGGATATTGGTTAAACTGGTATGGTTTACAAAATTTACGTACATGATCAATTTTTTTCTTTGTATAAAAACATTGGTTTAAGAAAAGCTAAAATACTAATTTTTTAAATGTATAGATAAAAAAACTAAAGGTTTAGTTAAATGATTTTTGAAATCATGAAATATAATTGTAAATTAACTGATGTTCCAAACAGGTTCTATATGTATTATCTTTTCATATATCAAAGTAAGGAATGTATTGATCAGCTATCTTGGAAAGAAAAAATTGGCTTTCTTATAATGATTGGTGTTTTTTTTTTTTTTTAAGTTTTATCTGAAATCACTCAATAATCTCATAATCTGAATTGACAGATTATGTTTCATGTGGTGTTTGAAAATATTTGTAATAAGTTCATCTACTACTTTACATTGAATCTTTTTGATTATTACACTAATAATTACACTGGCTTTATATTCATTTTAACTGGCTAAATGAAACAGTTTTTATGGTGCAGATTATTTTCCCACTGTTTTTCTCAAGATAATTTGGCTTTTCTGACCTGCAGTTTCTGAAAGATTTTTTACTAGTGTGGTTTTATGTAATATGATCTCTGTAGCAATGGACAAGTAAAAGGAAATATCCACAAAATGTTTGTTTCATAAAAGTATATGGGATGTTATAGATCAGCTCCTGTTTTGTTGTTTTACCCAGCCTCAACCGATAGCTTGGAATAAATTTCCCAAGTATTCAGAGAATGAGTGCTGGTGAAAGTTTAAATAGGATAGGCATGTAAAAATTAATTTCTGTTAAGTGATGACCTTTCAATCCAGGACTAGTAAAAAAAAATCATTTTTCTTTCAGAACTGAAGGAAAAAAACTGCACATTTAAGATCATATTTACTGGTGCATGCAAGCCATTATCCTGTCTTACTGAACTGATTAATGCTGTTGATTGTTGAAATGTGAAATGTAGTCACTGTTGACCTTGTAAATATCTGCCAGAGATGAAAAATATTTTAAGTTATTGTAAATAAAGATGTATAAAATTCACTATCAGTCTGCAATGCAGAAACATAATCTAAGATGTTAAATATTGTGTTTCTTGAGAGATGTGTAATTTGCCCCTAGGTGTATCTACTTACATTAAGAATGTAAATTTTCTTTTGTACAGGATAAAAATATAGCTTTATTTGGCTTTTAATTGGATTTCCTGGGGTTGATTTTCTTACCTAAATAGTCCTTTCATTTACAGAAGTTCTTCTATTATATTTTCTCAAAGCATGAAATTTTATTCATGTAAATCTGAACCTTTATATTATACCCTACTAAATAAAGTAAGGCAATATATAAAACTTATTAAAATATGACACAATAAGAAACAACTTACAAAGGCAGGAATTAAAAGTAATACATAAAATGTGTGCCGTATGTTTCTGTATGTTATTTATAGGGATACAAGTTTAGCTTTGTACTAATTTAAAGCAGCCAAATGTAAAGAAAGAAGTAAAATTAATTACATGATTCTTCCTTAAGATTAAACAAATCAGCTTTTCAGTGGAAGCACAACTATATCTAGTACTGAAAATATTTATTAGAAAATTTTCTTACATGGATCCTTATAAAGAAGAGCCAACATTATTAACAGTACCCTTTTACATAGACTATGGTGTGTAAGTTATTTAGTCGTCTTCTGCAACATGAATTTAATCAAGGGTTGAGGCCCATGCACACTTTTCCTTTCCCTTTCTTTATATGGACTTTCTAGAAAAATTGCTCAGCCTTTTTTTCCTGATGACTCTTATTCCTTGCTATGGACCAAAGCTTCACAAAAACACATTGGTATTATTATTATCATTATCATCATCATCATCATCATCAATACAAAAGCTAGCACTTCCAAAAGAAAAAACTTGAGGCCTGAAAGTGAATTTGACTGGATCTGCATTTGTTAGAATGAGATTCACCAGTTGGCAGTTTCAATGTGTCCTTTTTATTAGAAATGTTGTTATACTTGCTCATTCAAAATTCTAGAATATTCACAAAAAATATGATGGTAAACATCATTTTCTTTTAATGTACTGTAGTACAATCCTGACGTTAATAAGACAGTGGAGGCATTATTCCTCCACACACATCCAGCTCTCATCCAGGTAGATCAACATATTTTACGGTCCAAAGATTTTTCATATTAAACACCAAATTACTGAGTGCCAGGAACCATTTTAAACAATTTAAAGAAAATACAGTATTAATACAATAGTGTCAGATAAGTACTATTCTTCATTTCTTCAAAGTAAATCAGAATTTTAAGAAATCTACTGACACAACTGTTTTTAAACAGTGGCTTTTATACACACTAGAGCTCTATTGAGAATTATTTTCTAAAGCTAGTTACCTCTTAATTACCTATTTTTAAGGCTCACTATGCCTAATCTTTCACTATTTACTTGATGAAATCATCTTTCATGTCCTGTATGGAGGCTCAATGTTTCACTATTTCTGGTATAGGACATACTTAGAAAGTAGGTTTTGGAGGCCACATTCTTCTATTCCTAGATCACAAGTAATGACCTACTGATCCTTTATCAAGTGTGTACTAAATGGTAGGTCATTTCATATATGACTAATTGCTAGTATTTGGGGAGCCAAATTAAAGCTCCTAGTTTTCCACATAACTCCCTCCCCAACACAACTGTTTTAGGATGATTTTTTATTCCTAACTCTCAGTTGTACTGGTGGTACAGTCTAGATCCTCTCAGGTTCACCTTGTGAACTCTAATTCCTCCACTAAGTATGACAAGATCTAGAAACTAAGCCAATCCTCCAGTTTGCCAGGAACAGGCTGCTTATTGTCTGGGGACTTAGGGGTACTTTTACCACTGAACTACATCCCTAGCCTTTATTTATTTTGAGACATGGTCTTACTAAGTTGCACAGGCTGTCTTCAAACTTTTGATCTTCATGCCTGAGCCTACCCAAGTTGCTGGGATTACAGGTGTGTGGCCACCACGACAGTTACCAAATACTATATTTCTAATGCACAGAAAATTACCTCATTCTTTTCCGTAGTGCTTGGGATTGAACCCAGAGCCTTGAACATTCACTGTGCTCTACCACTGAGTTACACGTCCAGCTCTTTCTTTCTTCTTTTTTTTTTTTTTTTTTTTTTTTGGTTGTTCACTCCAGCTAACCAAAATGGAATATTGAGATGGCAAGGCTACCATCACTTTTCTCAGCTGAATTCCCTACATAGCTGCCAAATAGTGTGACTCCATCTCTTCCTTAGCCTTCTTAAATTCCCTATATATAATGACGTTTCAATACAAATCTGACCAGTGCCACAGGGACCGATTAGCCCTCCATAATAACAGACCCAACTCTTAACCACTTTACACACTTGCTATGTTGATTTGGACCTTCTACGTGGAAAATGTTACCTTTCCTTTATTTAGCCATCAGGTTGTAGCTTAAGCATCTCTTTCTTCAAAGAATTTGTTCCTGACTCCTTCGTATTTAAATTAGACACTGCTGCTACGTGTTCCAATAAACACTGTACTTCCCATATTGTAGCATGTTTCTCAGTATAATCCGTCCACCATCTCCCCGTGTAGTAGCTAGTGTGAAGGGAGAAATCGCGTTCGTCTATCTCAATATTGTATCCTCGTCTTCTGGGTACCATGGAACTCTAATGTTGTTTTGAATAATGAATGAGTTCAAACGACATAGTTCTGTTAGTAATATTGTATGTATCCTAGCCAGGTTCGTTCCCTTTCTCCCTCATTTTCTTTTTGTCAGTTCATTCTATTTTCCGCGCCTTACCGTCCTATTAACTGTCTGAGCCCATCTCCCTTTCCAGTACTCAGGCCCTACTCTTTTACCTTTGAAAAAAGGACGTCTCCCCTCCTCCCTACCGCAAGCCATTGATATGAACGAGATCCTACCTTTTAGGCCAAATGAGAAAAAGTTAAAAAAAAAAAAGAGAGAATCCATTTCATTATCCTTTTCATTAAAAAAAGATAGCTAAATAAATCACTAAGACTGCCACAAGACATACAGGAACCGTGCAGCCGGTAGCCTCCACAAACTTCCTCAGACCCAACGGACACTTCCTTCTTTCCCCGGAAACGGAAAGATGAAAGGAAAGCCCCGGAACATTGTGCTTAGGGATTCGTTTTCCTCAGATTTCCTGATGGGTAAGGCCTACTGGTAGGCGCCGACTGGTTAACATACCCGTCGTTCTTGGAGAACTCCGCTTCCTATTGGTCTGGCAGGGCACCGCCCCCTAAGCAGGGCGGGAGATTCGGTGTGCAGCGCGCAGGTCTCCCATCCCCCAGACGGCCTGCGGGGGTCTTTGCATTTACCTGCCCCCGCGCGGTTTAAGAGAAGTTGGCTTCTGGTGCAGTGGGTAGTCTCCTTTTCTGCGGCAACGATTCAACAGAATTCTGTGCATCGTCGTGAAGCGGCGGGAGCCGCTCCTATTTGAGACCAAGCGGGGCTTTGGGCTTCAGAGTAGCCTGCCTCTCTTTTCTGCTTAGCTTGGAGCTTGTGAGGTAAGTTCAGGTGCTTCCAGTCCCGCGGCCAAGCTGAGGCGTCCGCGTCCTGGGTGGCAGTAGCTGGTCTCCGGGGATTCCCCTCAGCACTCGGAGATGGATCGTTGCACCTCCCTCTTTACCGTCCTAGGGCACTAGAACCAGGGGCTGATGGAGCGCAGCCAACTGGTCAGTGGCGGGAGGTTCAGGCCCACTGGGGTGAGAGGTTCGCACTGGGAAGACTATTAGTCTTCTCCCGTTTCACGGAGCCCTCTGGTTGGAAAGAAAACTGTAAAGATCTGTAAGGAAAGTAGTAAAGTGCCCCGTGAGATAAGCCAGTTGAGAAGGAATGTATCGTGTTCCCAAACCACCACTGTAGGGAGAACCTTCGATGTTATCCCTGCTTGAATAACCAAACTAATTGAACAGTCACCTTGTGACAGTGCTGGGTTGTAAAATGTTGATAAACTAGGATCTTTTGGTAGAGCTTTTTAAATTAAAATCATGTTGAAACATTATTTTTCATTTTACTGTTGAAATAATAATAGAACCATTATACCTTCCCCTAGTTAAATTGCAATCTGGAAAAAAAATATTACTTTTACTCTATTATATTGTGCAGTGGTTCTGAACACCGAATGCGTATCATTCGTCACTTATTGACCATTTTTTCTGTGGAATGAAATATAGAGACGTGCAAAAGACCTGCATGCTTAAGTTGAAGCTTAAAAATACTGATAATAGGGAACGTTTAATGAACACTTTACTAGGCATGTGATCTCATGATAGAGCCATAGTGTGGAGGTGAGATTAGAACCCGAATTTATTGGATATTAATTTGTTAATTGTTGCTTAATTGCTAATCTAAACCACATTTTCTTTAAAAGGATTACATTTTTAAAAAATTGTAACAAGTCCTTTATTTGCTTCCATAGGAGAGTATATTGCTGTTACCACTTGTGCTATTGTATAAATTGACCTATAAACATACCAAGCAGTGCCTTGAAGGGTCATAGATGGCCTCCAAGCATATTTACATTTTATTGTGTGATTATTAGGTAGTGGTTTTTTCAGGAACTGTTAGAAAGAGCTCTAGAAATTTCAGTTGGGGTGACTTAGTACTACATAAAATGGCTTAAATCTAGATTAGGCAATTATAAATGCATTTGGCTGTGAACAATACTGAGGCTTTCTCTGTTGAGTAATTTTTTATTTACATACCATAGGAAAATTGCCTAGGGCATTACTAAATTGCTTAGCATATTTGTTTATATATATATTATATATATATATATATATATATTTTTTTTTTTTTTTTAATTCACCTTCCCCCCCTTCTCTCTCTGGAGATGGCCCACCTTCTTCCTTAAATGTGTATTCCTTCCTTTACCTCCAACGCTTTGTACTTTTGAGATAGCCCATGTTCTCCCTTGAATGTACCTTTGCTAAATAAACCTTTGTCTTTAAAAAAAAAAAAAAAAAAAAAAGGAAAAAAGAAAACCCACTCCCACTAAAGAACTACTAAAATTTTGCTAATAAAGAATTATGTAACAGACCTTACTGTTTATTTTTTCTTGGATTGCCAGGAAAGGCAGAGCTAAAAGTTCTTTGCATGATTTTATTTTTGCTTTTGTTTTTTGTATTTTCCCTAATCAGACTCATTTGCTTTATT